ATTGCCATGCAAATAATTCAATTAGAAATCATAAGCTTATCAAATGAATCAAGCAGTGGCTGCAATACCTTGGTTCACTGGTCTACATGTATGTGTCAGAGTTATTGATATTTGTGTGATATTTCATTAATGTTGATACATACATGTACTATACATAGAAAATAATGTATATATAAAAATAGAACATTCATTGCCTTATCCCTTCCTAATATAATCTCTTGACCCCACAATCACCCTAAATATCCTCCTTCTCATTTCCCTTCCACTCTTTCCCTACTTCTCTGTCCCCATTTGACATCCCAATCGCTTACCCCCCCCCCCAAAAAAAAAAAAAACCCTCTTTACCCTAACCCTTCATCTCAATGCTCTTGTCAAATACATTATTCCTCCTATGTAGCTATGTGTATGGATACTTTATTCATTATCCTACCCTTTCTCATCACAGTTCCCTACTATCCTGTCTACTCATGTTTTCCCTCGTACCGTATTATTCAACTGCCCTCCTTCCCTGTCTATCTCTCTCTACCCATCACCTAACCTTTTCCAATCACCATACCCCTCTTTGCGTACAACATACATTCTGATACCCATTGCTTTACCCCAGTTTTCATGTATATATGAAACATTATTCCTCACCCTCTTCTTCCTCCTCTACCACCACCACCACCACCACCACTACCACCACCACCACCACTAACACCAACACCACCACTACCACTCCTCCCCCTCTTTCTCACACCTCTCCTCCCCCTCTTTAAATATCTCCCATCACCCTCCCCTTCATCTTTCTCATCCCATTCCACCCCACTCAACCCCACTCAACGCCCTTTCCATCACCATCAAACATTAATTCACCATCATTGCTGAAATCAATCTAATTAGTGGGCACTTATATATAAAACAGTGGTATTTGCTCTAAAGGAGGCATGGTAATTGCATATTTGTATTCTGCCGGGACATCTGTGCATGAGATTGGCAAACACGTACAGCAAATACTCATGGATAGGTCTTTCACCCTCTTCTTAGTCTGCTAATGTTGGTTATGGCAACGGAATTACCTGAGGGAAATAATTCAGCTGCTCTTGTTAGCCAAACAAGGATACTTGAAATGGAAAGCAGTTTAGCTCTAAAAGTTCAAAAAGAGTTTTCAAAAGCTTTAAAAGAACTCTGTTAAAAACACTGAGAGATACAAGTTAAGTGACAAATAACACATGGTTTCTCTGCTTTTTGGATAATTGGAAATCTCCTTGCTCTAAATGTATTGGTAAATAATTCTCGCTACCCTAAATAGGTACGAAAATCTCGAAATTCGCGAGACGAGGTAATTTTCACTCTCTCGGGTCGTCACTACAACTTCCGGTATAGAGTCCCATCCCGCTGGCGCTAGCGCCTGTGTTCGCTGTGCAGAGTTTTCACGCACGCTAAAATCGATGCCAATCAGTGTAATTTGTACAGATTATAATATGCAATGGAAAGCTTCGGGCAGAATTAGTGACTTTAGCACAAAAGGCCGTTAAACTCTACCGTGAAAGAGAGGGTTGTGATCACGAACGCCTGCACAGGAAGCTGTAATGTCGAAAAGCTATCCCATAATGCAATGCGCGTTTTCAGGATTTTCCCCGGATCTCGGCAGAATCGCTATTTGGGGTAGCGAGAATTTGTGACTTTTAAAAATGTTATTTTTAAGGTAAAGTACATTTGTATTTACATTGTATACCTTAGTTGAGAGATGATATCTTCATAATGTGCATATCTGAGCTATATTTAGTAAGTAATTAGGTAAATTTGAAGAATTTCCATTTCAAGGATTACCCCTTCCTACAGAACACTCTATGAACTCAGCAAAGCTTATTCTTTAAATACCTGAAGGTGTTCAAAGCCTCTCGCATTGTGTAGCTTCTTTTTATATTAGCCCACCCTGCCCACTAATCTGAGAAAATTAGTATTTCCTTAAAAATAACATAAATTCTAGATACATCACTTTTGGAGGAATCTGTTTGCAACCATTTTTTATCAGTCCATTATTTCCCTCTGTCTGCTTCATCTGTTCTCTCTCCCTTTCATCTGTTTTCTCCTTGATCTGTTTGTTAGATTGTTCTCTCCCCTTCTTATCTGGTCAGGCCTTTGTGACATGATGTCAAACATGCAAATTGCTGAGTTTGGGGGCATGATTAAACAGATGTTCCATTACATGGTATCCATGGTTACTTATTTACTCAGAGAACAGCTCCGAGCACACTCATGATACTAACAAGGTGAACTGTCAGCTGGCAGATTAGGAATTGTGATTGGCAATTACTACGAAAACGAGGTTAAGGCAAGCAGAAGTTATTTCCAAGTGGTAAATACCATGTTTGGATAATGTAAACTTATTTTTAGACGATTTGTAAATCGTGTCTGACGAAGCAACAGGTTTTACTTACAGTCGGAAAGCTCAGAGAAGAGAGTTGACTTGAAGAGAGATCTTGACAGGAGTGTCTACTTTTATGTTTATTTATGAACTTTTCCTTCTCTTTATTATATTCTTCAAGATAAAGTTGTATTAGACTTGATTGAAATACAATAACAGCTGTCACCCTACCCTTTATCCATGCAATATAAACTGTGATTGACATTTTCTCTTGGCTGCCTCATGTTAAAGAGAGTGTTAGAGCCTTGGGTTCCAATTTGATTATAAGTTAGGTTTGGTGTTATGATAAAGTACTCTGCTGTGTCTAGGATTTATTTCCAATCTCTTATTTTGCTTGTATAGAGCTTATTTCCCTCTTTTTATGATTAAAGCAGTATTTTCTTATCTTTAAATGGTATATCCTGAGACAACAAAGATTTGAATTTTTTACTTTGGGGTTAACAATAATCAATATTTAAAAATTAATATTATATGAGTGATAAGGGGAAGATAAGTGACAGAAAGTATAAAAGGATGTCAAACAAAGATGTAAAACAAGACAATTGTAACATTCAGAACTGTTTGATGCATTGTAGCATAGAAGAAATATAAGAAATGTCTAAGAAGAAAGATAGAAACAGAGAGACACTCAGATAAATATAAAGATCAGACATAAAGAAACAAAGAGAGAAGCAGAGACTGTAAGATAGATCCAGCTAGATAGAAGAAAGAGAGAGAGAAAAAGTGTATTAATATGGATCGATCACATATTGAAGCAACATAACAATATGTAGAGCTTAATGATTGTAAAGTAAGACAAATAGAGCACTGTCTCTTGAATAAGTGGGTTTGTGAATGACCTTTAGTTATTCCTAAAAAGCATGAAGACAGGTTAAATGATGCATCCAGTCCCTGTGTTATGAAATGTAATAGTCCCACATATAAACAATGTTGAGGTAGTTTACTGCCAGGTCTAATGGTCCTCCACATGCAGGGTAGATTGGAAGAGTAATGTTTGCAAACGTGCTCAGAATAGAATATTGTTAACCTGAAACAAATTTGAAAGTGCCCATAAACAACCTGATTAAAGCAAAAATGCTAGGTGACATACATGATAAGCATGGCGTAGTGGCACTCTTGCTTGATGCCAGGCGATATATCAGCTTGTCATGTTTCTTTCTGTAGTTCTTGTTTTGTTACTTAGTCTTTTCTCTCTTGAATATCTGATGTTTCCGTTCTTTGGCCTTCCTCTATTTTCTGTATTCTTTCAGTATCTCCTGACCCAACTGCTACATTTCCCCTGATTATTTCTTTCCTTGTCCTACCTTCTTCCAATCTATCTTTCTTTCTGTCTTCTTTGCTTCTATTTTCCTTAGCGACTCTCATACTTCTCCCACCCCATCATCTCTCCAGTGATGTGTGAGTACTAAGCTCTATGATAATCTAGTAGATTCAGACACAGGGATGATTTTGAAAAAGATAACAAAGAGAACTGAGTAAGGAGTTGGCTTTGAATTGTAGAGAGTATTTTGAACTGCATCTTGCTGTATCTTGCTGAAGAAAGTTATTAACCATACCAGGGTATTTTTATTGTGGGATATTGATAACCCTGATTATATACAACATATTGTTTTCAGTTGTTGTCATTTATGATCATCAACAAAGTGTAAGTGACAGAAACTTCACAAGATGTCACCCATGCATATGTGTAAATGTTTCAAGTGAAATGGGAATTTCCCCATTTTATCAGTTGTTGAAACTCTGAAACCAAAGTTGTAAGAGGAAACCTATCTTGTCAGAGCATACCTTCATCAGGGGATGTGGGGGGAAACTGGGTGAAGACATCTAGTTCATGAAGAGTGTACATTGTGTGACAGTCTTACTCCTGTGTGATGGGAGAGCTTCTTCAAGACTATCATGGTCCATTTAGGCTTAGATCACCAGAGGGATCAGGAGTCCATTTCTTAAATTGTACCGGACTTAGCAAGACCCATTACCGACTTTCACCCATTACAGGTTCATTTCTAGAATGGACTCTGGAGCCAGCTGTTATTCTCCTGTCATTCGACGCAGTTAGTTTCGGTAGAGTCTAAAGTTTGCTTTGGGTTCTAAGCTTGTTTAAGCTTAGTGTTTTATACATGCTGCTTGCAGCTTTTATCAATTTTTGAAGATGTTTGAGTAGATATTACTGTTTGAAAATATATTTGTTATGAAACTTGAAAGTGCAGTATTTGTTTATTTTTCCAAACTAGTCCTGATAAATTGTATAAAACACCCCTAGTTTGAAGAAAAAAATTGAACTGTCTACTAAATTAATGTTGTCGCTCTTTCTATCTAATTTGCAAAATATCATAAGCATGTAATGGTGTAGAAATCAAATCTCTGTTTTCCAGATTGTATGTCTATTGTTTTTATGATGCTTGTCTTGCATGTGCACTCTGTTGACTATATGTATGGAAAGCAAGGTCAAAGAATAGGCTTTTGTAAAGGAAATTCATATGCAATATTCAGTCGTGACCTAATTTTGTTTTCAATAACTATAATTGCATAGGAAATCAACCATGAATCAGATATTATATTATCACATTTGTCTCATTTTATCTTTCTACAGCAAACAGTGCCAATCCCATATACCAGTGTAGGTATGGACTTCGAGTAAACATCACTATCAAACAGAGAGATTGTCATTATCCTGTATCACCACAAGGAATGGAATGCTTGGATCATGGATTCTGCTCAACAAATATTGCCAATGTGAGTAGTAAATCTGAACATGTGTGAATTATATATCTTTTATTAAGATATTGTTTGAAATATTTATGTTCTTTGATTCTCATTATTTATTCAAATGATTTGGTCAAAACTTTTTGAAGATAAGGAGACATTAATCAATTCTTTTCCGTTCACTTTCATTTCCATGGTAGGAATAAGATCACAAACAATATGAACAATCAAATAATATAAAACAGAACCTAGAAAGAAGCGGTACAAATCAATAGAGGGTGGGGTTATTATAGGTAATTCCACAAACAAAAGTTCTTATAGAGACTTCCATAAGCCTTTGTTTCTTCGTTAATAGTAGGACGTATCAGGAAGCTTTCGTTTTTTAATGAACTTAGTTGGGCTTCTCTGGATCCCTGCAAAACAACCTACATGTGTTTGACTGGTCAGGGTGTTCAGCGAAGTGGAAATTAATGAATAAGTAAATAGGAAGAATCTGAATTGTTCTTAATGAGTTCACATCTACTATAGATTTGTATATTGTATGCTGAGAGTCAGAAGGGCGTTGAATCATATACTAATATTACAGAGTTAATGCCCTTCTAGCTTTCAACAGATGATAAATATTCTCCTGCAAACATCTAAAGACAGTAAACATGTCATGATGTATTCCCATAAAGCATGTGTGCAGACATGTATGTCATCTTGATAAGGTTGTGACAAGTGTCATGAACATGAACATTTTTTAGTTTCTATGCAACAATATGAACTTTAGGTTCATTTAATGATGAAAAAGAAGGATATTTAATTTCAAAGTCCTTTATTGATTATCTGATAGCGAGCAGGATTGTCTCTTTCATAGGTGTTCATGCTTTTTCCTTGGAAATAGCACTGCTTTCCAAACAGCCTTTTATTTCCAAACAGATGATATAAAAGTCGTGATTGTCCACAGTATTCTTCTGTAATATACTTTACTTATGAGGTAGTACCACCTGAGGTGGAAATATGGCGTATAGAGATGAATATTAGTCAGAAATGGTAATTGAGCTACATGTATGCCGAGTTGGAAAGGACAAAATTATTGTTCTGTTTCTAGTGTACCTTACTCTATGTCCTGTTTTCCTTAATGAATTCCAAATTACTTGTTGTCTTCCTTCTTGTGTTTGATGTAGGCTAATGGAATACAGAAGGATTTAATTAACTTTCTAACTATTTACATTGGACCCATTTTTGCAAGTTTGAAGTGATAATGTTGTCATGTTTTGAGTATATTGATGTAGGATAATGGAATACGGAAGGATTTAAATAACTTCTAAATATTGATGTAGGGTAATGGAATACAGAAGGATTTAATGAACTGTTTAACTATTTACATTGGACCCATTTTTGCAGTTTAGCAAAACAGTAAAGTTATAATGTTGTCATCATGTTTTGAGAATATCGATGTAGGGTAATGGAATTCGGCTAGATCCTCTGATCTTGCTAGATGTTTTAGCAAGACTGATTTCTTTATTTTACAAAAAGTTAGGTTTTTCAATTGAATTGAATTCATTTATTTCCACAAAACTCATAAAAACAGTAAAATGTGTAAAACAATGCTGAAAAAAAAATCTAGAAGTAAAAACATGCAGTAAAGAACAATACATATTGCATAGCATGAAAAATAATATGGAGGGACTAGCAAAGGCCAAAGGCCTATCAAGGGCTAATCCCCAGCTAGGTTCAGATAAGAACAAATATAGCTAATCAATTATTCAATCATTTTAAGCAAGATATGGGAAAATGTAAGGCTTTAAAAGCAGAGTAGCAGTAACAACAAGGTTGAATAACAACTGGAGAGAAAAAGAAAGAATGCCAATGATCATTCTTTGCTGTATAATGGTCAGAAATGCGTAAATGTCAATAGGCCATTGAAAGATTTTTGTATGATCTCAAGGAGAAATTCAGATGTAAAAAATATCATTTTTTCCTCACTTTACCTTGAAGCCCTACTCTCTTAAAAAAAGAGAGTGAATTTTCACTCTATTTTCACTTTCTTGGGAGTGACGTCCGTGATCACTTGTTTAGGAGTGAAAATCGATTCTAAGAAAAAAGAGTGAATGTTCACTCTATTTTCACTCCATTTTCACTCTCCAGAGGAGTGACGTCCGTGATTTTGAAAATTCACTCTTTTTTTTAAAGAGAGTAATGGATGTTTATCACACTTTTCCTTTTAGTATCTTATTTGACCTCAAGTTTCCTAGGTGCAAGTTCTTACTTTGATATTTTAAGACCAAAAGCAAAAATCTTTCACATCTTTTGAAAGATTGTGCGAATAAATTTTTGTTATTTCATGTTTTTTATTTGAGGTCATCCAAAACAAAAACTCCCTCATATGAGAGATATTTATAAGTTTCTTAAGTGGATGGTTTTGCAATAAACGTAATTCACATTTAAGTTTTGGAATGCACATCAGTTTCTTTGTTGGTAAAAACTTCTGGTTTTACAGAATGAATAAAAGATCTTGTCAATAAAAAGTGATACTGGAATGAGAATAGTTTTCATCTGAAGGCAATGAAAAGAGAACATTTGAAAAAAAACATCAGGTAGACAATAGTGGTTTTAGTATTAGCTGCATACCCAAATAAAAGCACTATTTGGTCCTTTTTGGTCTCTGACACTTTCATTACACAACAACAGATGTAATTACAACCACTGATGTGTTGCCACAAGAACAATGTAATGCAACACCTCTGAAACTACTTAGGTACTGAATAATAGTTTGTGCGAGAGTTAAGTTTGTATAATCAATCTTTCAAATAGGTCTGATTATAAACATGACCATCTGGCACCATCCTTATACAAGTCAATATTGGAAAGATGCAATTAGAATCCAAGATAGGGTAGGGGTGTCCATAGAGGTGAACACTAAACCAAAGCACATCTTTTGTGTATTTTTCAAATTACAAACCAAGTAGATTACTAATATCCTGCTCTTCACATCCCAAGGACTTTGGATATTGCATATTCTAAGGGACTTGCTCATACCTTGATAATATACAGCCATCTCATGTGTAAAGCCTACAGGAGAGTACATCTGCCACTTAAGTGCCCATTGAAACACCAAGCGGGCAATAGGTCTGTATCACTCTAATCACTAAAAGGAATTTATTTACCTTTGATTAGATAGGCCTACATATGGGTATTCCCCTAACAAAATCTATGGAGACCTAGGATTATTATTATTGTAACCTTTTTCACAGTCCAGCCAATGGGTACTACATGTATATTAACCATGGTGCTGTTTTATATTGAAAGATCCTCCAATTATACTCAGGATCAACTTTGAAGGGAAATGCACAGAAATAAGCATTTGAAGCTTATAAAAAAATGATATTATGGTACTGCCATATAAGTGATGTAGGTTTAAATGATATTGAACATTTATTTTTTTACATATTTTATAACAGCTGATGCTGAATTGTAGTAAAAGTGTCTTTGTTACATTTGTAATGCTATTTATGCATTCTAAACAATTATTTGACCCACTCATATCTTTAAATACATTGCAAATTAAGTTATGAAACCTTGTTGCAGGTCATATTGTCTGTTTGGATCCAGAAGTACATTAACTCATATGCTTCTGGCTCACAGCAAACAATATGGTCCTTTAAAATATATTTTCCTTTGTATTATTCCTTGAATTCGGTCAGGAAGTTTGGGTGTATGTTGCATCCTTCATAAATATTCTTTCTTATCTCGTCATATAACATCCAAGTCCAGACTAAGATATTGAGAGTGATATGAATCAGCCAGTACAATGTGTCCGCTGTGAAACATGAAATACACTAGACAAACATGCATACTATGCGTCCATTCTCCAGAGCAGAATCAATATTGACATTGAGGATATTTTCCTTGCAGATGCTTTGAAACTGATAATTCAAAACATTGTGATCTTGCTGTAAATCAGTACTACTATATGTAAGGTGCACATCTTTGAAGAGCTAGAACAATTTCGAGATAGGAACTGATTAATCTTTTCACTGCTTCCTATTATTTATATGTGTTAAAATGTAAGGTTTTGTCGACCACTATCACAGTAACAACATATAACACACCAGAAAAGATTACCAACATTATATAGGAATATCTAAGTTGAAAAGGATCATTATTATATTAAGTTAAATGTTGTTTGTGTAATCATGGTTTGTGCTGTGGATTTCTAGCTAATATGAAAGAGAAATCTGATATTTGCTATGTATCGATGAAGAACATTGAATGAGGAGGTAACATGAGATATACTCAATACACCCAAGGGAAGGGCAATGACCATGCATTGCCTGAAAGGTAACCTTCTCTCTCTCTCTCTCATCAATGCATGGTAGTGTCTGATTCATTCATATTCATTTAAACATAATATGTTACCCATGAAGGCTTTTAAATCTAACCTTGCTATTAACCATTCAAATGAATTATATTGTATTATTCAATGCTTGATAGATGTGTTATGAATACTTAATGGTGTGGGAGAAAGTTGGTGTGATCTCTAGATTTTGTTGCTGGAATGTTCTCTACATCTAAGCAAGATGTGAAGTTCATCCCTCATAAAAAAGCTTACTTCTAAATACTTCATCATTTCAGGCATTGTGATTTGAATTTGAGACCAAGAATCAGATGATAGATAAAATATCACAGATTGCAACTATGAAAAATACATGAAATTTGTATTTCTCCTAACATAATTTACAGTAACTTACTTTTGATACTGTGAAATATAAGTGTCCATGTTCCAGAGTGATGAGCGCCTTTGATTTGTAAAAAGAATGGCATGATTAAGTGAGAAAAACCCGCAGAGATGTGATGAAAAGGGAAATGAAAAGTCAAATTGCAAAACAGATATTGATATCAGACATTGATCCGAGACAACACCGTTCAAGCATTGATATGCCATTTAAGAAACATTTGAGATGATAACAGAGATATAAAGAAATGGGCAGAGAGAGAGAGAGAGATAAAGACACATAGTGACAGTGAGAGGGAGATAGAGATCATAAAAAGAAAAAAGTTTTTGATATAGAAAAAATGAGGAAGAGAGAGAGAGAGAGAGAGAGAGAGAGGGATGTGGGTATGGATAAAAAGGGGATAGGTGTGAAAATGGGGGTGATCAACTTTCCTTGATTCGATTCACAGAATTGAAACCTGAATGTTCTTCTCGTATAAACTTTGACAGACTAACAGGATGACAGGAAATGTCATAGATGGATTGGATGTTTTGATAACAAGGAGAAACATCTCACTGAAAGGTATTGCACTACCAGGCATTCCTGGGATGCTGTCAAAATGTTGGCTTTCAATGACGGGGCTTGTGATGTCTCTGGTGTATTTATCCTGCCAGAGGCCTTCCCGATGGTTAATGGAATTAAATATTGCATGTGTGCCAGGTTTTATGGGACGGGCTTTTTTCGACGCATAACACAGCTGTGCGGTCACACATTTCCCACCTCTCATATTCTCATCCATCAACCTACTTTGATTGAATTTCAATTATTGTTTTGTCATGCATATGATAGGATGATGTATGGTTTTCTTTAAAACCATGACATGTGCTAAATGATTAGGATAGTAATGAGAGCAGCTTGTGGTATTAGGAGTATTTTAACATAATTGATCTATTTATTTCCATTCAAACAGAACTGACCACCTATTGCAGACAATTTTTCTGTTGTGACATGTTTTGTAGGGGAAAATATGAGGAGCAAAGTATACTAATGAATATTTGAAATATTTTTCATTTGCTTCTTTGTATTTTGCTCTTATTGTTCTTAATGTGTGTGTGATAAAATCAACTGCAAGCTGCTTACTAAAATACTGGATCCGATAATTGGTAACGGATACAGCTAGTTATTGATAAGCCCTTTTCATTTTACTAGCAGCGCCTGTGGCAGTTGCAACAAAATAAAAGTGCAGTTTGAGCTCTATGATCCAATCAGACTTAAGATTTAGGTCAAAGTTATGCTTGCAATGCTCTGCAGGTGTAACACCAAGCAAAAGAGAAATCTAATCAAAGACGGGCTTAGGGTTTCAGCCCTCGGCTTCTTGCGAGTTAATAGGCTGACATATTACATCATGTGTTCTCCCATCACCCTCCTGTCTGTCTGTATGTACGGAGGAAGTGTGGGAGCCGTGAAGGTAACACCTTATATCACATATTTCTAGCGAGTCGTTTGGTGTGTAAGGGAAGGAGAGGCACTCTGTACGGTCAGAATATAGAATTGCATCTTGAATCGGTCATGTTATCTTCATCAACATGGGTGTATGTCATACTCATGTACAAGATGCTGGGAATAGATGCGTTTTAACCTGAAGGTGATGTCTGCATATGGGTTTCAGATGGCTTTTATTATTTTAGGCAATAGTAATAACAAAGGTTTCTCCAATACCTTGGCAGTGTAGATTTCCTCACCATCTAGTTGGCACTTATCAATAATTTATACATGCTTTGATACCAGACAAAATCCATCCATTATGGTTTAATAGCATTCCATGCTGTGCTTATTAGCCTCGAAGAAGAAACACATTTATGTTGTGGTGTAGAAGACTTTGAGCGATGGGAAAAGTTCCCATGTGTATCACGTTTCCAAATAATCCAATACAATCTCGCAGTAGTTTTGCAATTTAGAAGAAACTTTCTGCATAATTTAACAGATGTGAGGGTTCTACATCTACTCCTGGTACAAGTTTGATTGCCAATATTCATGGTTGATGAAATTTAAGCACGATACAAGATAGTAAGTAGGATTCGAAGCACAAGGATTTACTACTGCAAGCCTTCTTCTAAATGACATACACGTGACAAATTAATTTTAGCTTGCTTAAATTTGTTTTCTGGCAAAACCCCCAAGCTCTTTTCTTGTAATGGAAGTTGCAATAAGATCCAATTTGTTATCTTTTCTCAAGAATCAGTGCAGACTTGTAAGGACCTAGCTGAGCGGGAAACCCTTCTTGTATCAGCCGGAGAATCAGCAGGATATTAGTCTTTGATTCTGGTTGGTCATTGAGTTATATTGATATGGATGGCAGCTGAGTATGTAAGGACCCATGTGTAATTCAACCAGCTCTTTGCTTCCACAGAGAAAGGAATCCATTTCAGTTTGAGAAATATTTAGTCATAGATGAAACTTTCAAGATGTTTAAATTTGATGTTCTTGTTGAAAACCATTGCTCATGCAAGGGTTAAAAAGGGGTCAAAGATATGAATTTATAGTGGATGCATAGTCCATACTTGTATTTTTATTTCTACTTCTTCTTTCCATTCCTTCTTTCTCTTGTCTTCTTCAAATAAGTCTCTTTGACCTGATGTCTACTAAATTTTGTATTTCCTATAAGCTTAATACAGAGACCAACCAGGTCCCATCGGCAAAGTGTCAACTAAAAGGTCTCTTATTTGCCTAACTGTCTGGATGTTTCATTCCATCTTACTACTCTGTATGTCATTTTCATCACATTCCCTGTGTATCATTCTCTGCTTAAATAAATAAACCTGACTGTCGTCCGCAATTTCTTGTCCTTGCATTTTTGACACGCAATCAATTCTACAATTGCGTTGTGTTTTTGCAATGCATTCAAGATATATTTCCAGTCTATCGATATGCTGGGGTCTCTAACTTTTATACATAGTTTTCTGCAAATCAGTAGGGCTTTGGTGTATAACATTTCACATGCAACTAATTCCTTTTTGGGTCTCAACAGACAATATACTCCATTGCAAACGTCATATTGTGTGAACAAAGTCTGATATAGCTTATTTATGTTGGCCTGTGACTGGGGTACATTTAAAGCTCTTGTGAAGGCTCTTTTTGCTGCCTTCTATGTTTGGTTTAAATTACTATTTAATTTTACATTTGCCTCTCTTTGTTAATTATAAATACATCTTCCTTTTACTCCTTCTTTCTCTGTCTGTCTGTCGCTCTTTCTCTCTCTCAAATTCCTATTCTCTCTCCACTACTCTCTACATCACCACCGTTATTTTTTATGGTCTGTCTCTCAATCTCATTCCCTCTCCCCCTCTCTACCTCTCCCTCCCCCTTCCACATCTTTGATACCATCCATGTCTCATGTCTCCCGTATGTTTTCTCCATCTCCCTGCAGAGGAACTACACCTGTAGCTGTTGCCATGGCTACACAGGTGGTTACTGTGAGGAGCTGGATGGATGTGCGAGCCACCAGTGTGCAGAAGGGGCGCAGTGCGTCGATGTTCAACAAGGTTTCGGGGGACATGACTACGAATGCCAGTGCCCGGAGGGGCGAAGCGGCGTGCATTGTGAGGTTGATGTCAACGAATGTGATAGCAGTCCCTGTGTTAATGGCGTTTGTGTGGATAGACCCGGCGCATTCCAATGCTACTGTGTTCCAGGTGAGTATTATATACGTACAAACATACATAAGTACAAACATATATACACAAATACAAACATACATATACACAAACTTACTCAACTTGTTAATTGCTATTCGATACTTGACAAATTAAATTATTTTAGCATGATTATTTGAAAATCACACTCCATTTAACCCATTAAAGTATAATAATGCTACATGACTACTTTCTGGGGGGGGGGGGGGGGGTTCTTTCTACTTCAATGCAGTATAGTACCAAATTTTGATCCTTCTATTATGTGGTAAATATACCATTTAACATTAATGGTCAGTCGTTGAAAATTCAGTCTACAGATTTATGGGCAAAAAAACAACAGACAAACAGAATTCTTTAAACACTCAGAACACTGAATAAAAAGGAGGGAATGCAACAGTTATCATGTATTTGCTTCAACATCCCATCACATTTCCTTCATTCATTGTGGAGAAGAAGAAAAAAATCATATACCGTACATTTTAAGCACAATGCCATCATAAATACACTGTAGGGAGTGGTAACATGAACCTTTGGGAACAGTCTTGCCCTGTTTAGAACGCATCTTGTTTGACATTAATCCTCCATTGTACCATTAGATTGAGAGAGATTATGAAGAGGAATGCACATTTACCTGTCTGTCTGACTTCATAAAGTATCTCGTCTGACCAATGTCTGACAACGTTCTGTAATTGTTGCACAGGGACTAGATTTAAAACCAAGCTTTCAGCAGAATTAAGGTCTTTGGCTGCAGATGAAAACCTACCTGGCGTATGACCTACATTCCATGGTTAGATGATCATAAAGAAGTATTCTAATTATAGAATATTGTCTTGAAAGTGTGTTTCTATCATGATTTTAAATAGTTTTGTTCTTTATTAGTTCTGATTTGTTTACTCATTTTAAGATGTCCTGCCCTGAGAGGCAAAAAGACAGGGTGGCCAAAGAGATGATTGTAGATCTGTGGCATTTGTCATGATATGGATGTTCATAATTTTTTTGGTCATTTACAGTTATTGATTGATTTTCATTCTGTCATAATTGTGTAGAGAAACCTCTTTTTACTAAAAAAATTGTACATAGAATGGGAAATTTTGGCTCAAAATGTTGTTAACATGGTATAGATGGAGTGCATTACTAAATGCTGTTTGCTAACTGGTTCCAGAGGAGAATATTTCTCTATGGATATAAAGACTTCTTAATTACAAAATTAAAAGTATGGTAAGGATATCACAGAGCAAAGAATTTGATGAAAGAATGAATTAACATATTCAAGATACTAGAAGAAATCGGAGCAGTCTTCAGTAAAAGTTTGATAGAAGAATGTTCTCACATTCCTTATCATGTGCAATATTTGTCATGCAGTGCTGTTACATTTCATAGCAATCTTTGTTATGCCTGTGCACAATGACGTTGAATTATAAGAAGATTGGTCTGACATCTAGCCATACTTTCAAGACTCAAAGGTGATCTGTCCCAGTCTGCCTCTAAAGTAGATTACTTTATGCTCTGTTCAGATTTGAAAAATAGGTTAGAGAAATAAATCTTGGTAAATGGTTTTCCAAGCCAACCAAGCCTCATTAATGGTGTACTACGATGAAAACTTATATAGTTTGCCAGGACTAATAGTGAAGTACTTTTATGAGTCATGTAAAATTCAAAGAAACCATGGACCATAGCATGGACAGTGTTACATGATGTGTGTGCAATCCCAATGAATTGTAAATCCTTCTGAACTTTAAAGAAATGTATGAAGAGGCCTTTGAGCAACAATCTTTTGCTTGAATGCTACTATTAGATTTGTAAATCCCACACAAGTAACTCGAGCAGAAAGCTTCTACTCATTCCCTAGTGGTTATTGCAGCCTCCGACAACATTTTGTTTTTCTTTGCTTCCTAAATTAGATGAGAGTTGCTCCCAGAAAGGTCAAGTGAATGAAAGATATTCGATTCCATCTTTCTCTGAATTTCATCCTTGTCTTAAAGGTTGTTCGTGTGTATCAATAGTCTCAAGGATAGTGAAAAATATTTCAAATTTGATTGGAAATTGGACTTGATTTGTTACATGTCAAGGTTTTGTTAATTTGTCTGTTTTTGTTTTTAAAGTATTTGGTGGTAGTTGAAAATGGTATAATTGTTATTGGAAACAAAAGTATGACCCACAATATTTAAAATTCATTTACTGTTTTGAACAAACTGAAATTGCATTTGTTTAAACTCTGAATCTGAAGTAGAATCATTTAAAAAGGACTACACTGCCAAGAATGTAGTAACGTACCTTGACAAAAGTATTGAATACATCATATTTATTACAGAAAAAGGTGGAGAGGCAACTGCTTTGACAGTTGATAAGAATATATCTCTCTTCATAATTAGCAAACAGCTTGCCTTAATTCCTGTGTCAGGCTACATTGTACCTTTGAGATTATTGTATGCTGCATAGTCTTTCTATGAATAACCAAAGGCCTTGTCGAGGATCATATAAAACAAGGAGTTATACTTTTTGTTGGTAGTATAACTATCTTTTGAACTTAGAACATCAATATATTTAAGCCCCAATACCTTTCCTGCCAAAATAAAATAGTGGTTGTTGTGTGAGAGATCACATCTTCTTGACATTGACAGCATGATGTTGCCTCTGGGAAATTACTGTTGTGAAATACATTAACTGCTCCCATGAAATTATTCTTTCATAATGATTGTAGGATTGCTTGTTACTCCTGAATATTGCCTTTAGAGTATCCCTGAAGATGTGTGGGAGTGAATGGCCAAAAGAGCAATATGACAGGTATATTAATTGGACTTCAACTTGTCAAAGAGTCTTGAACCTAAGAGGATACTATTTGAGTGAGTGTCGCTTGTAGATATCACACAATATCTTTTAAAATGCATGATTAGAAAATCAATATATCAGCAACAGATTGCAGTTGATCTTTTAAAGTTGATGCATTCACATAGTGCCATGTTACCTTGCTTTGTTCTGATGGATCTCTTGAAAGGTTGTTTGCTGGAGACACAATTATGTGCTCAAGGCAAAGCCCCGGGGACGAGCGTGGTGTACCGAAAACTGGTCATGTTACGGGGCCATGATACCCAGCGCCAAGCGCCTTTTATTTCGTACTATACCCTTCTCACTATGACAAATTTAAATTGGATGCTAGACTTCAAGGATTTAGCAGTAAGAGAAACCTGTCAGCTTCTGGTTTGGAAGTGCTCACTGTCACTTCCTAAGGATCCAAAGGTAGCTTTATAACACCACAACACCTAATTAAGAATTTATAGAAATTCTTTGTCTTTAAAGGTACTGTGCTCATTGTTTTGGGGAATTCACTTAAAGGCATGTGACCTGGAAAGTTTGAACTTGAACAATGCACATGGGAGTGTATTCATGAGAAACTGCTCACTATTTTTTAATAAAAAGTAAGTACGTAGACATATTATACGATGTGAATGTACTAGAAAAAAGTGAATGTCTCTTAAGAATCAGTTACCAATCTTTGAAACACTAGACACTTATAGGCCTTTTCTACTGCTTGTTTAACAATTTCACTTCCTTTATTTATTTATCATAATGATATCCCAATATATTCCTGTTCTCTCCTTATTAAAGAATTGTATTTGCTTTTATATCTATTATTAGTAGTCATTCAATTTGATTGCATCTATCTAAAGAAAAATGATCATGCAACTGTATTTCTCTTAACAGTGAAAGTAAACAACATATTATAGTTTCTACTTATAGAGACAGAAAGAAAAGAAAATATCCCCTAGACTGAAAGGCCTCTAATTTGACTTGGTGAGATGCTGATTGCATTGATACAACAAGAATTTAAAAAATCATTTCTGAAGAAGAAAAAGGTAGAAAAAGGTCTATCGGTAAAATGTTTTCCTTTGGTATTTTTTCAAATCCCCTATAATGTGACTTTATATGATATATGTAGAAAATGATAAGCGATATATTTATTTATATTGACAGAGTAGTTCTGAAAGCCTTCTTGAAACCTCATGGATGCTACATAATTGCAGAAGAGGCCATTGCCCTTTTTTGTCAGTGGCATTCAGAATGGGTGCATATCTTCTTCAAACTTACAATCTAAATGGATATTGCTTTTAGAGTTTGCAAAAGTATATTTCATGATTGATTGCTGCAAGAATTGAAGAATATTCTATTTCAGAAAAAATAGAAACAAGAAGATAACCTCTGTCCTATCTATCCTATCCTATTAGTGCAATGTCATTTCAAATTCTGGCGTTTCTTGAATCCAAATTGGATGCATTTGTGGAATCGTGGAAAACAAGTTTGTTGTTGTAATGGAATATATTCAATAGCTTGTATAGATTGCAAGGCCATGAAGGAATGAGTGGAATATAAAAAGTTCTTCAATTAATCTTATTTTTTCTGACATTGCTCTTTGCTGTTTTGGTCATACTAGTCTCAAATGCCTAGGATAAAAGTATCAAACTTTTTTGTCTCCATTTCTTCAAGATGGATTTGAAAGGCCGGTAGAGACCCATTAGCATACCTATGTCTTCTTTGAGAGACAGAAGGCCATTAACTGTATGTTCAAGTATATGAGTTAATGACCTTCTTGCTCTAAGTGGATAATACATTCTATGTCACCTTGAAAAGATTCCTGGAAAGGATTTTAATGCATTGATACCATAAATCCCAACCATCTTTGATTCCATTATTGCGACTAACGTAAATTACAACTAAAGGACCTCACCCTCGCACCTCCCCCATGCTACCAATCCTGAAAATAATCCGCAAAAACGTGATATGTAGGGATTTTGTGACAATAACATTTTGAGAGACCATGTGAGATTGTTTTCAAGGAGATTGTGATGCCTTTCCTTGGTAATACCCTGCCAGATTTGATTTCTCTTTCATTAGTGCGAGGGAGGATAGAGTGTTGCATGCTTGGAGTAAGAACGTGAGATTCAGGCACCCAACCACATTATTGCAGCTTTCAGAATGCGTAATGTTATAAGATCCCTAATGCATTGGGGGTGAAGAGAAAATGGCATCCAGGGAAAGGAGGGGGGGGGGGGGGTGAGATGGGGGAGGTAAAATTAATGTGAAAACTTGTTGATTACAATGATGCTCACATTTATTATTTACTCTTTTCATGGAAAGATTTCTTTCATTTCTAAAGAATATTTTGAAAGTTGGACATTGATTTTTAAAGGACTTATGATATGTATCTTGTGTAAAATCCTGTAAATCAGTTTGAGTTGGAAATAAAGCGTCAACTCTTCAGACTTTCTTTGTGAGACAATTTAGAATAACAGCTATATTACTTAGTCATACTAGGGAAACAATATCTTAAAGCTATAAGGTCCTCCTTGTAATAAACAGGAAAGTACTTTTCTTGCTTGTTAAGAAAACAATGGGGGTCATTTCCCCACCATATATTGCAATTTAGCAAGATGGGACATATTCATAGCCAAGCCTACTATGATAATAACATTACCTTCTATATAAATATTTCTGCCTCGAGTCCACATATTACTCAGAATCGTCCCACCCTCAATTTTGGCCAAATAGTGTAAGCATGCTGTGGCAATAATGTTCAGCGAGATGTAGTATAGGGGATAATGTTGTGACAGCCCTAGCATGTGATAAATATAGTGCAAGATCAACATTCAATATACACATCTCCTGTCTCTCTGTCTCTGTCTCTCTCTTTCTCTCTCTCTCTGGCTCTTCTTTACTCTCTCTCTGACTCTTATTCTCTCTCCCTCTCTCTCTCTCTGACTCTCCTTTTCTCTCCTTTTCTCTCTGACTCTCCTTTTCTCTCATTTTTTGTTATGGCTGTGATTTGGGAATTTGTCTAGAAGGGAAGAAAAAGTCAAACCTTTGCCATATTGAGATGTCAGACTTTTTATTAGAGTATAACATGTTGAAGGACTCTCCTATTACAAATGAAAGTGATATTTTATCTTTGTATGGGCACAACAAATTATTGTATGTTTTGGGGCAATGACATCATTGGACAGTACCCTTATTCCTCTGGAAACCTATTGCATCAGAAATAAAATGGAGACAGTAACAATCAAAATAGGTATAGTTAAATATCACAATAAAAATGTACCAATATAATGTAGAGGTGTCGTGGACGAGTGGATATGTCACCGGACTGTGGATCACAAGGTTCGCGGTTCAAGTCCCACCGCGGCACTAATGTCCTTTGGCAAGACATTGATCTACATTTGCCACTCTCCACCCAGGTGTTAAATGGGTACCCGGTAGGATGCGAAAGCTAATGTGGTTAGATTAGCAAGTGTGCGCTTGTAAAAAAGACGCCTGGCTGGAATGCTCCCCAGGGAGTGGAGAATGTGCATACATTGTGTGCGGGTAAGCCTGAATCCTATGACCGGGGTAATAATATATATATCTGTAAAGCGCTTTGAGAGGGCCTTCGGTCCTGAAAAGTGCTATATAAGAACTAGCTATTATTATTATTATTATTAATCAAAGTGAGTAAAGGAATAACACTGTACATAAGATGGTAATATTGTTTGATAAAGTAATTGGCAGTTCATGTACAGACTGTTTATGTCAGTTACATTATATATTGTATTATGCATTTGTTTTTGCAAAGCTTTAACATCTAAGTTCCTGTTCATGTGCTTCAAGAAAGCTATTTTTAATTAATTAAATATGGCTAAAAGCCTGTATCGTGTTAATTTGCCTTTTAGCCTTCATACTTTGCATTAAATATGTGTAGTGCTGTAGTTCTCATTAAGTTGTCACATGAACAGAATGCACCATTTCCTTGAGAGTGATCTGAGGTTCAATAACACAGAAAGGTCTCCCCCAGTGTTTGTTTTCATTAGGAAATGTGGCCCATTACTCTCTCACTATTGCTGCGAGCGATTAATTTCTCTTTGAAGGCTTTGCAACCGACATCTCCCCACCAATGGATACCCATGTGGTGTTTACAGATCTAGGGATTACTTTCGCCTAGAAAATCTTTTTCATGCTGATGGACATATTAGCGTGTCATACAAAACTTGGATACTCACATACATCCATGAGATGCCTTCTATGTGGAGCTTTGTCATGATGATGGGATGATTAGTGAAACTGGAGCGATGTATTCCGTGTCCCAGATAAAGAGAATTGATACGATTGCATGTTTCCGATGTCTGGACACTGTATTTGGATTCAGAATCAATCATGATCAACATCACTCTTTGATATTAATGTTTGTTCAAGCATTCAGCCTTGGAAAGAATAATTAATAAGTTGTTCATAGGAGTGATTGAGGTAGAGTACAAAAGAGGTGAAATGTAGACAGGAAAGCACAGATTTCTCTGATCCAAAGCTCCATTTGAGGATACTATGAATATTTAAGAAAGAGAGAGAGAGAGAGAGGAAAGATATATAGTTGTCTACTATGAATTTTAGTACTAATGATAATATTAATATTAATTATATATATATCTCAATATCAGAACAGAAACATTGATTCATTCTATGATAAAGTGGAGAAGGTACATAAAGACAGATAGTAACAAAATGATACAAAACCTTTCTCAATGATTTTCCTCCCAAGTTTCATTATTCATTTTATATTATGCCTCTTTTCTGTAGAAAGAAAATGACAGTGAGATTTGTAGTTTACTTCTGAATGACTGTGTGTGTAATAAAAGTATGAAGTCTTTAAACAGGATTATATCTTTTGCTGTTGGTGTAAAATATCATAGCAAAATTCAGTAATGTGAAATATACCAGGAAAGTGTTTCACAAAAAAACATCATGAATACAAGTTTGCTGACATTGCATTGCAACGCGTGTATCAAAATGTACCTATGCTTGTAATGGGATGCCGGCAAACTGGAACTTATTACAGTTTATTGATATGATGTCCTAGTGTACTTTTGATGATGATAGGACAAGACTTATTTTGATTTTCATTGAAATGTATCTTTTAATCATAACCTTTAGAATGTCTGCCAGATGATAATTTGAATAATAATTAAATGATGATTTAAATCATTTCTTGTCTTTGCAGGCTATACAGGTATCCAGTGTGAGATCCAATACAATGAATGTGTATCCAGCCCCTGTCTGCATGGAGGGTTCTGTATTGATGAACTCAATGATTATCGTTGTGATTGTGGACCTGGTTACACAGGAGAACACTGCGAAACCAAAGTGGACCTGTGTGAATCAGACCCCTGTCACAATGCAACGGTGTGCATGGATGAGGGGAATACCTATTCATGCGTTTGTGGACATGGATTCACAGGTAAGATCCGTTGTACTCATATCTGTCTTTCCACGATTGTTATCTAGTTATTGTGTAGTGATGCCAGACAGGATTATAAAAGTTCAAAAATTCAAATACTGATTTTTGCAGTCTTCATCATAGCTAGGTGAAACCACAAAATCCATTGAATATTTCAATGTTTAAACCATACGATAGTCTTGCACATTATGATCATATTGAAAGGTCTATAGGAATCACTATCATTGCCTTTAATAGCATAGATGGTAAATGCATTTCTTCTGTTATAGTTCTTTTAGTACCACATTTCTTCTTCTTGCATTGTCTGGCAATTTTATATAGATGCTGAAAATATTTATCAGATTTAAACGTATTGGCCTGCACTGGTATTGATCAAAATATATCCTGAGTTGCTAGACTAAAGTATTCATATATCAGTCATAGATGTTTGAGTTGTCTGTCTGTGTATTTTTGTGGAAAATTATACAGGTAGCTGTTACACTCTTGTCTAATTTCTCTTGTTCCTCTGCCTGTTTTAGGTGTTCAGTGTGAAATCAACATCAATGAATGTGAATCAATGCCATGCTTAAACGACGGGAGCTGTAGGGACGAAGTAAACTCCTACAGATGTCTTTGTCCAGGTGGTTTTGAAGGCGTTCACTGTCAAGGTAAGTCAATATTTATGAGATCTTGGGGCATGGTCAAAATCAATGCAATTGCATATGATATAATTTGTCTGGGGAAGATCAATATAATTGCATCTGTCTTTTAAATATCTGCTTGAAGCCGTTGTAAATCATTGTTCAGAGCAAAACTTTCGTTCTAGTTTGATGGTTTCATGAGACAGTTACCTGCAGTTATCTCCTGAAATGATTTTTTTTTTTGGGGGGGGGGGGGGGGGAGGAGATTTTTTTAAATGTATAAATTCTCATGATATATTTCATGCATAATTCTTCATTGTTATGCATAATAAAAATCATGTCATTTTAACTTCCTGATTTTGCCAAATCTACCTTTGTCATAAGGAAGATTTTCTCTAATTGGTATAGGCCTATACATATGCTTGGTAAAAATGTGTAGAAAGGGGTACTCACCACTTTCTTTCACTTTTCTCATTTGTCAATGTTTCATGATTTCATCAATTAGAGTTGAATGTCTTCTCAAATCGTTCAGTGAATAGGGATTTATGTGCATTGTGTTTGGCTTTATATTAGTTACAAGATTCTTACCACATACAATACATTTATGAAACGACATGTGGTCATGCCTCAAAGAAGGTCCATTTCATGGGAAAATATGTAGGCTGCTGCTTAAATCAGAAAATTTGGACTGAATTTTTTTTTCATTTTGAAGTGACCCAGTGCTCTAATTATTGTGAACAAAATTGTAGAATTTGTTGCATACCCTGAAACAGTTGTCATTTTTTTGCCATCTTCCTTCACTTGTCTCTGCTGTTGAGAATTGAGTTGTGCCATTCATTGTTGCTTTTAATGCTGTTATTTATTTATTTATTCATGATATTCTTACTTGCTTTAAAATATTTTCTGAAAGCCAAGGCACGAGGGATCAGTTTGTTATATTTAATAGGATTGGGTGGGTTCTGTTTTCGATCAATGGATTTGTATTTAAGGTAAATTCTAATTACTGAACAAAAAGGATGCAGGGAATTTTTTTAGTGCATAATGGTTAGAAAAAACTGCTACAGTGACAACATAGCGAAGATGCATGTAATATTCTTTGTCGTACAGAGAGGGTGCCCCAGGGAGGGGTATGTGTGGTGTGTGGATTCATATATTTTTGACACGATACCCTCACATTGAGGTACTTTACTTCTAAAGCCATGTACTGAAATGACAGGAATCATCATAGAAAGAAAAGAAACTGATGGTGTTCATCTTCTGGATGAACATATACATTAGGTTTGAGATTTCATAATCCACATACATCCATAGTATTACTTTCATAATTAGATATCACTTTCATAAATATTATAAGTTTAGTGTCACAGTCTGGTTATAGTTTGACCTTTTCTCATCATTACCATGAACAAACAATACAATAATGACCTGTGAGTGACTTTTATCACAGAGAATTGAAACAAATTTGTCCCTTTTGTTTGACTTCACAGTTCCAGAGTCATTTATCGAGCATGATGCACCACACCACTCCAATCCTGAGCCTCAACAGCACAATTATTACATCGTAATCGGCGTCTTAGCGGGGGCTCTCTCCGTCGCCATGAGTATAATCGCTATTTGTGTGTGCTGGTTACAAAAGGGTACTAATCCCAGGAAGATACAGCCAATATCAGGGGGCGATGATGACAGGTATGTACAAGAGAATTATGATTCTAGTTAAGGGAAATAACGATTGGTCGTTAAAGTTTCATTGTGTTTGAAATTTTGTTTAAATAAAGAATTTTATACAGTATGCATTATTGATTATCCAAAATTTGGTTTAGAAAAGGGGATGTAAAGTTTGCTAAATATATATCTTGAATTTTACGCTTTGCAGCATATCGTCGCTGTTTTCACGAAGTGACGGTAGTGAAAAAAAATTGCATTCACTTTGCGTTACGATTTTCCTCACTACCGTCACTTCGTGAAAACAAGGACGATATATTAAATCAGAGTCAGGTGTCATCATGATGATGAAAATATAATATCAATATTAATGATAATTATAGACCTACCTGTTGCTACTACCTCTCTGCATATGATATGAAATAAGTTATTTTTAAAAATGTGTGCTTCTTTTTTGCACAAAAAAAAGAAGGAAAAAACACTTTGAGGTCTTCTTTAATGATCAATTATTGTTGAAAAAATGTTTTCATACTACAATATCCAGTAAACCAGTATAATAAATGTAAGCATTGTTTGAAGTTGATAAAAGCAAGCAAGCATTCCTCTTTTTCAATAACAGTTGATGTCATAGACAGTAGAGGAATGAAAATGAAATAAATGAGCTATTTTCATGAATATTATATATGTTTGTTTTCTGTAATTTAAAGTTTCTATTATGTTTTTATATTCTTCGCAGTTGTACTCTTTAAGTTCTATCATTAACAATGTCATCTATTTTATTTATCTCATGTGTCTTTCTTTCATCACCATTCCAGATTTTTGTACAACATCAGCAGCGTAACAAAACCACGTCCGTCTGTTCAAGCAATCTACGAGCTAACAACTCTAAACTATAATGCCCAGATAGATGAGCCTCTTATTTCACTCAAGCCCAAGTCAATATAACTTATTCTCATTCACTTCCTCAGCTGATTGTATGATAGTGTACAAAGCATTTATTGTGTGCTTGCCATTGTGACCATGTTTAGGTGATTCTAGGGGTGGATGAATATCACATTTTTTATACCGTTGTTACAATTGGTTTTTTTTATTCAGTTTTTTTATTATTTGTCCTTATTGATTTATGAACATTTGTGAAAGGATATCTAACTACTTTTAATTTTTACATTGGGTTATATGATCATGAGGTATATGTATGTGATTATATTTAAATGTTTGGCCCCATGGTATTATGATGAATACATAAATAACTGTATTTGATTTAATGTTTGTTTATGAATTAGAGCCACCCTACACCAAACAATAAATAATTCCTGTAATGAACATTCCAGTTTTATTAAGCTCTGAATATTTTGTTTTTCCCCAAAAATTCCAACATTTTTAGCTTCCCATTACAATTTTTCACTGGTGCTTGTATGGATTAACACTATATCTAACTTCTGTTGTCATTTGTTGAATGTTACTCCTCAGTGTATGAATGTTGTTAAAGATGTTATAGACCAATCTGTATTTTGAACGGTTTTATTGCGAGTATGTCAAGGGAAAGTTCTTTGGGACTAAGAAAGCAGTTGTAACTACCGTAGTATACCTTCTTTTATAAGATTCTCTGTTAAAATAGAAGTCTATGTAAGGTGGTCAATTTGATGAGTAATTGTGGGTTTAATGAAGTGACTGCAAGGATGACCCTCATTTCATCAATCTTATAGTGTGAAAAGATTGCATTTTTGAAGAATAATGCAAAATTGTAGGCAACCAGCTATTCTTAATGTTTGAATCTAACTTAGTCACTTCATTAAAACCTTGCCAAATCCATCATTGCATGTGCAAGAGGTATGTAACCAACTAAGTATAATCAGATGGTATAAACGCATCATATGGAGATTGATAAGCTAACAAATCCCTGCAATTTGATGTATCAGTGTACAATGAATATGAGACCTAAAAGTACCGTCCATAGTTTCTATATTGACATGGCTATAGAGGATGCATGTCACTGAATGCCATGTAAGGATATTCCTACGAGTGAAAGCAGAAATGTGGTTGTTTGACTTTGATGAAGAAGCAATAAAGCCCTTCAGCAACCGTCCAGCTTGGTATCAAAGCGAAAGGATGAAAAGAAAATTAGCTATCATAATTGTTCTAAGACTGCATGCTATTTGACCCGTCTAATATGAAAAAATAGTCATCACATGTCCATCAAGTTTATTGTTTTTTAAAACTTGAAGGGCTTTTACTCCATTTTGTTGGCAAATCCTCCAAACTAACATCTTCTATTGTTCATGAAGGGCAATTTAGTCAACATAAATAGCTATATTACAAGTTGAACAATTTAAAAATAAGTACATGTACTGACATAAAATGTCAGAAAAAAAATTGATATGTATATTCCTCACGAATGACAAATTGTGTTGTGTTATAGGAATGACATAATATGTTTTATAGTTCATTATTTGTTTTTTTTAATTTTCATTCTTTTGTCATTATACTGAACTAGTATAAACTAGAAGTACCAATATTGCAAAGATTACATTGATGTATGCCCTGTACAATGTGTGCTTCTAATATAGAATATACATTGATATTCCATTTTGAAACAGCATTGCTTTGTATTATATAACTTGAAGTTTGATTCCATTACGTTTTTCAATGAACTGTGTGTGTACAGTTGTATTAAATGTGTTTATAGAGGCTTGTACAGTTTTTAAAAGAATATAAAACATTTCAGGACTTGTATATAATATATGAGAACATATAAATAATGAAGTGTGAAAAAATAGTAGATCAGTAAATATCATGAAATACTTCTTACTTATATTATTTTTTAAAACTAAATTCTATTTCTTTTGATGAAGCTAATCATGCCACACGTTTTCTTCTATTTAATATTTGCTTTATAAAGTTTTGATATTTTAATTTGTCAAATTTATTTAACACCGCACTTTGACAGTGCTATTCTTTCCTTGGGTATCTTTTATCAGAGGATATTTTCCACTACTTTTGAAAAACTTCAAATTACAATGTGAAACTAAAGCTCTGCTCAGACGTAAGGCAGTAACACAATTTTAAAGAATTACTATTCATCCAATTTTCAAAACTTCCCAAAACTTGCATTACCTTTAATTAGAAAAGGAAATGAAATTAATTGGCGTGAGCACATTCATCTTCCCTTGTAGACTGATTATCAATTGTTTTGAGGGGTGAGGGTATTTACCATTTTATTTTCTTATTGTAAGTTATCATTTTCATTACTGAAATACTGCTAAATGTATAATTGATGTATAACTATCGTGTGTGTGCTTTACAATGTAACAGATTATGAATGAAATAGAATCCAACTTATTAATGTTCATAATGTTTATTGTGACTCATCAAGTTATTTGTCTTTCAGGTATGTATCGAAGAGAACCATCACCCTTCAAACAAATCGCTATTCACTCCAGTATAGTAATAACTCTTTGCCAAATTCAATAAATTGCTTTGCTATCAATTCTTGAATCAGCCTTTGCTGAACTCATATATGATGTAATAGAGAAATTCTTTGGTACTTGGATCTTTGGAAATTTGGAGTAGATATATTTTCCCTGAAAAGATGACACACTTTAGATTTAGGGTGTTGGTTCTTCTATATAAAGTTCAGTAGTGTTTTGATTTTGTTCCATTTTTGATTGTGCATGTCTGAGCTATGAATCTACTAAGTATAGTCTGTACAAAGATGTAAAGCTCCAATTTAGTGAGAATAAAAGATTGTAGTGTTTTTTTGCTATAAATGAGGTGTCCATGTTGTATGTGTTCCGTGGCAAGAGGGGGTGGAGTGAGTTAAAGGGGATATAGACAGGGCTTGTTCATGTATACCTCAGCAAACCGCTGCAGTTTACTGCACCCAACATATTTTGTATCTTATAATGTACAGATAAGCGAGTTCATGCAAGATGCTTGTGTTCATGCTTGTCCTTCATTCAGTACCCCTGAAACAGGTTGCGGTTTACCACAACAATAAGATAATCATAGAAGAGTGTAATAGGCTATTTTCGTAATGTAACCAAATTTAATAAACAAGTCTTTGCAAAGTGCCTCAATACAAATTATTTCATTCACCTGATAAGAATACCGGTAATAGTATTTCAATATTTCAAACTGCATGTATTAAGTGTTGCTAGGTAGGTCAAGCCACAATGTTTGTCCAACCTGGCAACAACTAATGTATACAGTTCGGATTCTGTCTATTGAAATACTATTATTCTTATCAGGTGAATGAAACAATTTGTATTGAGGGACTTCACAAAGACTTGCCGGTATGCGTTAAATTTGATTACATTACGAAAACAGCCTATTGAGTGATCAATGGACCCATGTACATACATTATTCATATCATCCTTTGACAACCAACATGGACAATCACACATTATACATAATTGATGACGCAGAGATGATTGTTTGACAGAGCACAAAGTCCTTTATTGAATACTTCTGTGCATTTATATACTCACATACGAGCAATATACAAAAGGAAACACACGTCCATCAGTCTTCCAAACTACAAATACATATATCATCATTATCCAGTAAGATTACCTACCATTTGCACATTTTAACATAACTTGCTTATACACCTTTATATTCAATAGCAAAGAAAAGTCATATAGTAGACAAGGAAAAGTTTTCATAATTACACATTTCACAATAAGTTCCGTTTCTTCAAATCCAAGTTACTTGCCATTCTGCTCTCAATAAGTTTGCCAATCAATTGAAAATAAAAAGTGAGAAATCAAAGTTCATGCATTTGCATCTACTGACTTGCAATATAACAGTCTCTTCTTAGGTTCCTGAAAGATCACCCTTCCAGTCAAGTTATAAATGCAAAGTAGCATGCACATAAGAAATTATCTGACACAATATCAAAAGCAAGGAAAATGTTTCCAAAATCTACATAAATCACATATCACATATCATGAGCATCGATTCTAGGAGCAATGTGCTCCTTCTTTAGGGATCGCAAGTAAACTGGTGAAACTAGTAATGGACCATATACCATCATAGACTAATATATAACTTTTATATGATAATAAATAATTTCTTATAATGAGTAAGGACACTTGATTCACTTGTTTCATTTGCGTGGGGATTTTCAGACAGGCCGACTTTTAGTGACAGATTCAATTTCAAAGCTATTACATTCCATGCCTCTCTCCTATAGGATAGTCAGAAGTACAAGACTTAGGAGACAGAAACTACAATGTTCAAATGCAAAAACAGATTTTCCTACACAGCCTTTGAATGCAAGCAAGCAGATGTTCAGAAATCAAAATGTAATATTTCAGAAAAGAGAGAGAAAAGAAAGAGAGTGATACGTTTGTGAAAATATTGTTAATTTGAAACATAATCCAAATATTCAATCGTATCTGTAGTTCCTTTTTATGTGTTTCTGCAAACCAACAAAACTTTGCCAAAGTAAATCTCTTATGATGTACATAAAATACTACAATAACATCCTTGCTTAAAGTGGGTGCAAAGAAAGTATAAATTGAAAAAGAAAAAAAAATTGTAAGCTAAGTATTTATGTAATACCGATCTGGCTTGCACAGAGAAAAGTAGTGACAAAAAAAATAGATGAGACAAATTATCATCCTGATTTGAATCACAAAGTATTAACTCATGTTTCACTAGGATACTTTATCTAAATCAATATAAAACAATAAATATCACATGAGCATTGGCATTTAAACACAGCCTCTTGCAATTGTGAACTAATAAAGGCTTTCATATTGACATTTTAATATGTCATGTGACAAGTCTTTCCTCAAACTTTGTGAGTAGTCCAAAACACAGCAGAGAGCTTAGTTTAAGGATTAAACCTAGTCATTCAAACAAAATATTAATATAAGATGAAGTAAGAGCCTTTTAAAATTCAATATTGGAAGGAAAAAAATGAAAAAAAACCACTTCCTATCAAAATGATGGCGCTAAAAAGTGACTTGTCCAACTTTCTTATGGTGGCTCTTATGAACAAATGTTTGAGAAAATGCTATTTGCCCCTGAAAAACATGGGGTGCAAAGATGTCAAATTATATATCCATAATCCTTAAATTGTCCAATTGACAAAAAAAAATAGTATCAAAGAGAGCAAAAATAACTAGAACTTCAAAAAAAATAAAAGCTGATTTTGGAAGGAGAGCTAAGTTTGGAATTTATCACTAATCCACAATGAACAAGATTTTTTTTTAAAAAGCTACTCAAAATTTCAAATGCTGATTCATAAATAAGAAAAAATTGAGATAATCATAATAATAACTATGGTGCAAAATGAATCTAAATCAAATATGGTGCAATTATTCTACCTTAAATATTTCTTGACTAGAGTAAAATAATCTTCATATTTCTATAACTGAATGGAAGTCAGAAGTGTTTATAAATCTTTGTCTTTGGTTATAGACTTAGTTTGCAACAGTGCTCTTGCAGTAAGCAAACACAGAACGCAATGCCAGAGAAGCAGAGAAGCTGTTTGCATTTCCTTTATGGGCAGGAAGAAAGCATTACATCATTTGTCTTTAAAACCTTCTGAATCTGAACATCTGAAGTAATGAGGTAAAATCAATGTCATCAAGTACAAAATATAAAGTTTTTGTGCAACAACTCCAAAAAATAGAGCTTGTTATATCACATGTCATAACCATGATGTGCTTACATGTATACAACACTACAGAGGTACGGAAAACCATTTCAATTCTTCTTCACACCAAAGGTACATTGTTTCTTTTCAAAAATATAGCGCGATAGTCGTCAATGAGAGACAAAGATTGCAGATATAGTGGTTTGTTACAGTAGTCAATTACCTACTGCACAATGTGTTGTTTAGTTTGCCATCACTGCATATAACCAATTGATCATAATTAATTATTACTCTCTCAAATTCTGAATCCATATAACAACAACCACAACACTAAGAATAGAAGACGAGCCCACAACCAGATCATATTATAGAGATGAGAACTTTAGGATTTCTTCTAAAATAGAATCAAATTTAACTTAGAGCTTCCTAATTTATTGAGCTGAAGTTTTTAGCCACTAAAACCATTAGAGCCTCCTTTTTTGTTTAAAAAAAAACCCTCTAAAAATCACCCATAATCTGCAGTATCTTGAAAATACAGCAAACTCTATCACTCCACAGAAAATGAGATAATAAGATTTATGTTGAGATAATTGCAGTTTCTGTCTTTCTTTCCTCGTATCAATAAATAATCTGTCTCCACTATTCAGAGTTCTTTTTAAATTCTTCCAGTCTTGAGAAGCAGAGGTTTAATTCAGGTGTTTACCTCCTTTCATGAGAAGTCTCCTATAGTCTGGTTGCCCCTCCTAGAATCTTCAGGGTTTCCTTAAAATCAATAATCGATCTACGATACCAAAAGAGTCTGCAAGAGCATGACTCTCAAGGAATATATAAATTAAGCCTAGGTCAATTCACAATCCAGCTAATATTTCAAGAGTCTTTGAGATGGTGGTGGAGGTGGGGTTAATTAAGATGGAATCCTTTCTCCTTGGTAGCGCTGAGCAGTCTCTCTCTCATGGTGTCCTCGTTGGAGTACTCTGGCAGCTTGAGATAGTGGACACAAGTATTGACTGATGGGTAGGTATGGTCATTAGCGTCCACCTTGCGGACGATGGTCAGACGAGGGTGAAGGTTAGCTAGACCACCGGGGGGTAAAGAGGAGCAGCCGGTGGTAAATTGAAGGAAGGACTTGCGCTCATCACCATTCATTGCACTCAGGACATTGACAAAGCGTTGGAAGCCAGGACTGTTTAATGGTACACAGGAAATAAAACAGGAATGTGTATAAGAAACTGGATTACAAATGATTAAAATGATTTGATAACAAAGAATGACATGAAAAAAGTATGGAAATATAGATATTCATTACATTTTTTTTTTGGTAAATATTTATTGTCACTATTCATTTCGAAAATGAAATCTTTATTAGATTTCAACATATTTGCATGTCACATAAATTAAACATTGAACAAAAATTTTGAATTACAATTTGAAACATTTTGATAAATATTTGTAGATCCATATTGCTATAAGTAAGAGTCGATAATGACAAGAGAGAATGAAAAAACTAACAGACAAAGAGGGGAGGGGGTGGTAATCAAGGGGGGTAAAGTGTGCCTACCTTTCTCTGGTATAGCCTAGTTTAGGTTCGGTATAGTTGAGGATATCATCCCTAGTCCATGATGGAGCTTGGTCTCCAGATAGGATAGTCTGGAACTCAGCTGGACTAAAACTATGAAGCTTCTCTATGGGGAACACTTGATTGAAGCCATCTGGAATACAGCAGATCATACAGGAAATAAATACATACATGTAGGTACTATGATGAATTATCACTTTCCTCAACTGCAACTTTAAAAATTTGAAGAAAACAAAATTAGCTGCATATCCTGAGGGACGATTCACAAAACTTGTCATTGGTTATCAGCAGATTTGTCATTGATTTTTGTCATTTATACAAATAGTTATCTTTTAAAGTAAGATGTTGTTTATCAAACTTCTTAACAGGATGTTCTGTGACAAAATAGACAGTCATGTTCTGTAATATTAAATTATATTTATACAACATTTATGTCAAAGGTGAAAATACATAGTGCTTCCTATATAAAATAAAAGTATGACACTGATACTTCAAACATATCAAAGAATCTACCTAATGCAAGAGATTAAAAGATAGAAAAAATAATAACTAGACAATATAAATAGAGAAGTTCCCTTTGATAAATTTGATCCTTCAAGTAGTGAGTTTAGTCCTAGAGGGTGTACTAATAAGTGAAAAAGTAGGAAGAATGTAGAGTTAACCCACCTCTGAAAGCCTCCATCTGTCTCCTGATACCAGTATGAAGACAGAAATCAGTTACCAGCTCGATGTACTCCTCAGCATTGTCTAGACTCACACACTCATCATCACCGTTGGGTTTCAGGTTGAAGCTATGGTAACCATACACTTTGGAGGAGGGGTTGAACTGGAATGTCAACCTAAGAAATCAGCACAAAAATAGACAAATTACTCAACCATCAAAGATTTCAGACGATTTGGTGCATAGTAACAACATACAACAATAGGATACATATATCTACAATAAATTGAATAAATTTTCACACAAAATATCTGTTATTGATTCGGAAATAGTTGGAACTGTGCATGCATAAAAACAATAATTAATAAACATGCATTTCAGGAGGTAGAAGTTGAATTCTTTAGAAAAAGTTTTATCATAATTTAACATTCATTGTGAGTTAAATGTAGTGTGGTTTTCAAGTCAATCACAAACTCTGTATTGAAAGATGGTCAATAAATGGTTCTTCCCACTTCTTGTTACCACTTGATTCTTTCTTTCTTTATAATAATAATAACAGCATTTATATCATGCACATATAAATCCCAAGGCAGTACTATTACCCTAGCTTTAGCCCTGCTAAAAAGCATTCGAGGAATAAGTTCCTACCAGGTATCCAATTACTACACCTGAGTGGAGAGCAACAAATGTAGATTAATGTCTTGCCAAAGGACATGAGTGCCATGGTGGGACTCACACTGCAGACCACATGATCTACAGACAAGTGATCTATCCACTACACCATTACACCTCTACTTCCAAGAAAAATCAGTTTTAATACAATGGAATCTTTTTCAGATTCTTACCATGAGAGAGAGAGAAAAGAAAGATACGTACCCTAGATCCTCAAGCTTAACAGGTACCCCTGATCCAGGTGAAGTCTCAAGACAGAGGTTCTGAATCTCATTGTTCCTCTCCTCCTCCGTCTTACTACCATCCAGCTGGATCTGTCTCTTACGATCCACCATCTCTTGAAGATGCTGTAGGAATCTTGCACGATGAGGGTCAATCAACTCAAAGTCAGACCAGGTCAAGACACCTGCAAACCAGGCTGGGGTACATGGTTTGGGTGGGTCTGCTGCTAGGATGAGCTCCTTGGACTCGTTACCGCTGTCGATGGCCAGATCAGAGATGAGCTCACTCATGCTCTCCAGTGAGGCCTCCGTCTGCTGCATCTCTGCAAAGAAGACCTCTGAGTCTCGTGGTGAGGTGTAGGATTCATGCGTAGAGGTGTAGTAGAGATGGGTACTACCTGTCTCACCCATGCACATGAGCTTGAGGAAGGGTCTTGAGAGGGGGATGTCTACCATGCGATTGTCCTGGAGGCACTTTGCCAGGAAGGTACCAAGGAAGTTGTAGAGTTGCTCAATGCGAGAGATCTCTTCACTGTCTTGGATAATGGGAGCAGGGAAGAGACCCGAGGCTTTCTGGATGTAGTAACCAGGGGGCTTCTCACCTTCACCAAGATCAACCTGCAAGCACACCGCACAAATTAGTGAGTAAACAATGTCACCTGAACTTGTGGAAAAGAAATATGAAATACATTGCTAAGTTCAATAAGCTAAAATTGATTACAATCATGTATTCAATTAATATTCAAACCCTAAGTTCAGAGGAAAAAGATGAATGCCCCCATAATCAAAGCATTTTAGAACTCTGTTTGGGATGAGGTTCTGATAAGTAAAGAAAAAAGAATTCTGTATTAAACTGGTGATGAGCTTTACATCCGTATCATTGATGACTAATAGCACTGACTATTTAAAAACACAAACTACACAAATTGAGGTTAGTAAAATATGCAATAAAGGTTTGATTCAAATCAATGACCCAGCAGAGAACTCTATACCCACCTTTCTTGACAGGTCATCTGCTATTTCATCATCAGTCAACCACATTCCTAGACTCTTACGCTGGAGCTCAGCTGCTATCAGAGCATAGAACTCTAGAGTAGGACCAAGACCTGTTCCTTCCTCTCCAAGGAACTCAACCTGATTGAAACAAAGTATGAGTTGATGAATAGAATGTATGTTTCATTATGGGGAGGACAGAGACCAGTACCACTTCAACATGGCAAGTCGATTGAATTCTAGGATTTTTCCAACACACAAATGGTATGCAAATGAGCCCCTGGACAATTATGTGGGAAATATTATTTTTGAAATTCTTAAATCATATATTTATACAGACACTATTCACAAATATGCGAGCATTGAGGGGAAAAAAGGTTCATCTTTGCTACTTTCAATCATTAGATTTGTTGATTCACACCCTAGCCCATCTGCTTATGTTCTTACATAATTCTTCAATTTTCATTTGCATATCTCAATCTAGGGTGCAGTAAAATCTTACTTTGTAGGAACAGATCCATGAATATTTCAAGAAATCTAGGCTTTAGCTTGATGAAAGCACTTGACTTGTAATAACAATAACAGATAATTTACACACCTTGAAACAAAAGTCAAATTAGCATCATTATTATGATGGAAGAATTTCTCACCTCTAGTATAGACTTCTTTGCACAATGAAGTCTCATCACATTGATGGCCCATTCCACAAGCTGTTCTCCTCTCGGTACCTTGACCCTTTCATGTTTGAGACGTCCAACCTGGAACTCATGATGGTCATCTCGTCTGGTGCTAGGGGTCCTCACACGTTCAGTGTTGGCCTCACGTTTCCCCTGCAGCCATGCTATGGCTCTGTATGGAAACACATTTGCCACATTATGTATTGGATAATTGTGATAAGTCAAACTTAACATTTGGAGGGAAAACAATCATTCTGCAGTACCGTTGGATTCCTCCCTCCCTCAAATTCTGGAACGTATAATATAAAATCCATATAATCCATACTCGTCATGTACTATCCAAGTTTTGAACAAACTTTATAAATACTCATTTCAGATATGTTTGCTTTTGATTATATGATATTATCTTAAATCTATGAATGATCAAACATCACAACTAGAGTACCCTTTTTACATTAAGGGAAAAAAAATGTTAATAAGACATCTGCTTGGAATACATGCACATTGCATGACGGCTTCAAAATGTAATATTTACTATAACTCTCATAAAAACAAGACTGTAAGACAAGTGCAGAGAATATTTAAAATATTTGTATTGATATAAATGCATTTATATCAAAGTTTGATATAAATGCATTTATATCAAACTTCAAATAGACTTTGAAATTAATTCACTAACCTTGATACACCAAATGCAGTACATGTGAAGTAGAGTTGCCTGGTCTCAAATGGGAAGAGCATTGGACATCTATTAGTCAGTCTCTCACACCACTTAGGCAGAGATAAGCTTGCAAGAACCAGAGGATCCTAAGAGGCAAAAGATAGTGAATCATTAGTTAGAGAGTTCAGTCCATCAAGTCAAGTATTTACCCCTGAACTACCCATTTTACTTTAACTCATATCAAGGCCTCATTTCACACAATTTGGTATTACTGACAAATGACAGTTTTGGTTAGTGAAATCCTTGCTTCTGATAGGTTATCAGCAGATTTGTCACTGATCTTTGTCATTTGTCATTGATAAAAGGCTTTGTGAAACGGGTCCAAGAAGTTTACTGTGTGCCAATCAAAATAATCCCTATACCTTGGTCCATAGGTAGTTCAAATAAAAAAGGAAATATTCTTTCAACTTTATCTCTTTATTAGATATAATTTTTGTCCTAAATGGACAAATCATGGACATCATCTTGTGTTTACTTGATGTCTTAAATGTTTATGGATACCATGTGCTAATTTCAGGGTTGGTAATCAAAAAGTGCCTACAGAAATTCATAACAGCTATGAGAAGAAATTACCTGCACTTGCTGAGCTAGCTTGTTAGTGATCTTTTTACTGTAGAACTCTTCAGGTGGTACATTGAAGCGATGACCATCTGGATCTGTAAGAAATCAGAAAAGAAATACGATCAGTCTTTGAACAGTGTATATTTGGTTCACCTGAAGTAGCACACCACAATCAACCGAGGATAGCAATTTTGTTTCATTATCGTTAAGATTTATGCATTCAGCACCATATAAGATACTTTACTCTTCTCACATCAACAGCATTAGCTGAACTTACATGTAAATCAATATATCTATATCAATGATATTCAGTCTCGCTATTATGATATCTTACTTCTGACAGTTTGGGTATCAAAGTAATGGAATTGCAAATGTGAAGTTCAACAGTGCTCTTGAAAGGGAAGTGACTGAAAAAGGAGCAGTCATGTTCATTCACAATGTTTGAAACAGTTTTAGCCCGTACAAGAGCACTTACCTGTGGACCCAACATCTGTAGCAATGGCATAGAGAATCCTGAGGAGCTGTAAGACATCATCTACACTGCAAGCACCAGTCTCCTTACCCCCAGCATTCAGACTACCACCATCACTCTCACTCAGTACATGCCCAGAGTCCTGGCTTAGGCGCTGTTGGCTAGATGGTCTGGCTAGACCTAGCTGGATGAATTCCTGTTTATAAATCAAGGGACAAATTTCATAGTATTGTGAATTCTTGTTCTAGAAGTACAACACTAATTGGAAACTTTAAACCATCAAGGATAGTGCCTGAGATATCTAAGGATGGGGTCTATCGAAAATGTGTGTTATAATGAAATCAAACTGTATCCAATGGCTCAACAGTTTTATGAAAATCTATCTGTTACAAGACTAAAGGTGCATGGTTCTCTGCCTATATTCATGAGTGTAAACACTGGCATCAGAAAAGTAGATTTATAATAAAAATTGACATTATCTGAACACACTTCACGATCCTTCAACTTCCATATACACAATCATGTCACACATCTAACATTTTCATTTTTAGGAGATGTGCTCTTTGAGACAAACAGGCTGAATTCAATCAAACTACTTAATGTAGTTACATTCTTCAAGAAGGTAGAGAATGGACTAACCCTGTATGCAGCGATTAGTCTAGATGAGTTCCTGGTCCTGCGTATATTAGTAGCATTACTAGTCAGCTTCCATCTCCTAAGGAACTGAGCATCTGCCTTCTCCTGTAGGTACATGATAAGCTCTGTCTTAGGTAGTCTCTCGGTGCCTAGATGTCTCTGTACAAAGCCTACAGTCCATGGTCCCTGAAGGGTGATGACAAGAGGAGATACAACATTGAGCAAAACACAAGGACAAGGTTTGAAATACTACACAAGGCCTTTCCTTTGCATTATCCTTAACTAAACCAAGAAAATGACAACTCTAGGCTTTATTGTACCCATCAACAACAATTTTTTTTTAAAGTTACGTTTACAACATGTCAAGTTGTTTTGATGCTTACCTCTGTGTTTTCTACACTTGAAGTGCTCTCATCCTGGGGTCTTGATTCCCTATATACAACTCTGTCAAACAAAAATTATAAAAACAATGTAAAAGAGATTCATACATTTTCTACAAATTGATTAGACAGCTGTTAGACACATTATACATGAATGGAACATGTACATTATTATTCCATAAATACATTAGTTGGTGAGCATGAAAATTTAGACCAAATGCTCCCAAATAAATGCATGTAAAAAATAAATAATGGATCAAAAGTCACTGAACAACTTATCAATTTCTACCCATGTTAAATAGAAGGGTAAAAAATCTAAATATATTTACACAAAATATTCATTTCCACTTTATTCTTATTAGCCTATTATCAATTGTAAGTGTTTATTATTGGTAGGCTTCATACCAAAGAACCAAGGAATGTTCTCTTTATTAATTCAAGACACAATGTCTGGCTGTTTTCTAATGAAAATGTGAAAATGCAGTGAGTGATTCTTACGTGTATGTGGGCTCCCATATCCTGCGTAACCTATCATGTTTGGTGCCAGTAGGTGTCTGCTGGTACAGCATCTGAACGTATCTGAAGATGGTGGATCGTAGATCCTCACAGTATACCTCCGTCTCCTGTACCTAAATACACAACAACCATCAACAAGAAAATTCATTAGATGATATCATCATCGAGCTCACTAACACCAATAAATTGAAGGATTTTTCTTGTGTAAATGGCAATGATTAGCCATGATTGCACAAATAATTATATGCTCTTTTAAAAATTACATGTAACATTTAATCATACTTTGTGAAAAACTTTTGTTGATTACTGTGCACGATCAATCAACCATATAAATTAGCACGAAAGCAGATGTTTCATAGATGACAAAGAAGATTAGAACCGTGCATATAGATCCATATAGTTAGAGGAGTATATACTTCATAGGAGATGAAAGACTTACCCCTTGTAGTCCAGGTCCTCTTAAGAAGAGTCCTAGTCTTGGTGTCGGAGTGCTATCAGTCTCATCTCTAAATGATGTATCGGGTGTACCTGTACAACATACAATTAATAAACATAGATTGGAAATGATACACATCATCTAATGGACTCCCTTCCAAATTAAACAATGTGAACAGAGCTAATTGATAGTCACTGATTAAATGAAGAAATTAGCACAAATGAAGACTGAAATAAGAAATCAAGTTTGTGATGTAGGTTACATTGTATGTAAACCAATATTCACAAAGAAAGATTGGGAAAGATGAAGGCATAAAAAAAAGTTGTGATGAAACATAGAAGAAATTAAATGCAACATCCCTTTTTTTCTTCTTGTACAAACTGTGCTAGTGTGAACAATAACCACTTTAGGTATTGACAGATAATTGTTGACAGCTGATCTTGTGAGCAGTCCCAGTACAGAGAGTTCAAAATGGGCCAATCAAATTCATTTGCTGCTGCTGCTCGGATGATGTCATAATGGTTTTTATGATTGGTTGAAGTCAACATGTGTTTGATTTTTGACATTGATCCTAATTCAAGTTTTAATACCAGAGGCTCTTAAACCCATATTTGGCTTACCTGGTGGAGGTATCTCAAGGTCTGTAGTCTGCTGGACATTGGTCCTGCCAGGTCTAGGATCAAAGGCTGGTACCAGAGCAGAGAACTGTCTCTTCAATACATGTTCATCATCCCATGTCTTACGTCTCACACCTCGGCTATCATAGTCCTCTTCCTCCTACACATTGAGATATCAAACAAAACAATACATATACTAATTATATCCTCTTTAATTGTTATGCTCCACACCTGCATGTAGGGATGTTGGTCTGCACCTAAGAGTCGTTTACAAGATAGATGGTGTAATATAAATGCTACATCATGTAGTATGCTTACACACAAAAACATACCCAAATGCCAATAAAATTTCCACGCAAACAAAATGGTCTAAAACCTTTTACAAGTAAATGGATTTTCTTTTTCAACTGAACTGCTTTGATTCAACACCACCCCTTTGATAGTTCACTGCTCTATTTCTGTTGACATATAATGAAATTCCTTGTTTTGTGTGTGTCTTTTAGTGTACTTTTCCAAAATTGCAAGTGGGGTATCAATATGTCATGGTGAATAAAAGGAAAATGCATTCATAAGCAGTGTGCAAAAGAGGAACCGTGATTAGATCACCATACTATGTAAGAGAAGCTCTTACCGTTCCATCATCATAGTCCTCTCCATCACTATCATCCTCATTCTCATCATCGAGATCCTCCGGCTCTGGGAACTCCTCATCCTCCAGCTCGGCCATGAGTGAGCTGGTAGGACAGGGCTCTAAGAACTCATTATCACTCTCACTAGAGGTGGATGTGAGGGAGGTGGCCAGGGCTGAGCTTAGGGTACTCGTCAGGACAGTGCTGGCTGATGTAGGCATGGAGGTGGTGGTGGCACCAGGCAAGTTAGGAGCACTCTGGGCGCTGCTCAGGTAGTTGTCTACAATGGCAAATGAAGTGATAATGTACATATATGAGCTTGTATTACATATGTATTGGAAGCTGGAAAACATTCATGTGAAAATCTGTATAAAACAAATAAACAGTGTAAAGCCATCTGCATAGGGGAGAATGAGTAAATCCATGTTTGATGTAAAGTTGCATTTTTGGTCTTTGGACTTTTTGACAAGTCTTGAATAAAACCTCATTTGAATTGAATTGAATTGAATTGAATTGAATTGAATTGAAACTACAGAGAGAGAGAGGAGGACCAAGACTCCAGAACTATTATACATTCACTCTTAGAAATATGTGCTTTATTAATTGGCTTGGATGCAATAAGATAACATAATCTTTAATGACAGAAAGTAAATGAGTAAAAATGCAACAATGCAAACGCTTACTCTTGAAACATTAAGACTCAAACTTGAAGTTAAGGGAAGCCTTCATTAAGAATCCCAGGGACAAATACGTTGCATTTACATTAACAACAGCAACATTAGCAGCAGTGAAACTGCTTTAACTTACTGCTAGGCAGGCCAGATGAGGAGTAAGGGAACCTGACAAAGCTGGAAGTAAAGGTGTTGGTCCGGTTTGAGAGGGTACTGTTACCGCTGCCTACACTACCCCTGCTCTGTCTCATCAGAGATGGAAAGGTATCTGCTAGACTGGACACTACATCCTGGTTACTGCTTAGGTTGGGTACACTAACACTCATACTGCTGGTGGTAGGGGGCAGCACAGGGGTGGAGCCGGTACCTGAGGTAAAGTATTATTACATGAAGAACCCAGGACAGGTGCATTGAATGACAAGACCTATGCAACTACACAACATACAATACATAAGGAAGAGCGATTGAGATCTTTGAAATAAATAATAATTGTCCCAAACCTTACTTATAAACTGATTATTTGAGTGTTCTGATACATTTATATGTAGCAGCTTTCCATTCACAAGACCAATTATTAGGTATCAACTTCTTTATTATTTAGTTCAGATTTGTTATCAATTAAATGCAGAGCTGCATGTTACTTACGATATCTGAAACAGCTTTAAAGTGGGTATTCCATGACAACAACAAAAATTTGGTTGTACTTCATTTGGCAGTAACAACATATAATGGAAATAAGAGTTGAATACCAATACTCCTTATCATGAACATGAAATTAAAAGTGCATGTCGCTGAATAAACTTTTTTCATGTCAGCATATAATATTACCTGCTGTAGGAGGGGGCAGCTCTATGGCCTCAGAAAGAGCCTTCTCTGAGTCTGTAGCCAATCTCTTATTCCTTCCTCCGCTCAACACTGCGCTGACAGCACCATCGACCACTGCTTCTGTCTCTGCCAGCACTGCTTCCAGACCGGATCGCATCAGCTGATTCTCCATCACAACGGCTGCTGATGCTAGACTGGGAGCTGAGAGATCGGAAGTGGAGGCGTGATCTTTATCTGTGTGTTTGGTTGGTCCAGGACAAGCAGGGCAGACGGACAGACAGACAGAAAGACAGACATACACCATAGACAAAGGAATAGGCCGAGTGCAGGAGGAGGAATAGGAGGTAGAGGAAACACACACATAACAAAATGCAACAGATCATTGTGCACATAGACAGGCAAACAAAAAATAAATCAATCAAATAGGATACAAATAGAAAAGACAAAGCAGTCCTCCTTCAAGTATTAGCTTCTCCTCTATAGTACAATCATTTCATTGCCACAATATCCTGTTCTATAATTATTAGATGATCATATATCACCTGTTCATATCTTATACAGTCTATTATTAGACTGATAATTTCTATTTCTCTGATTGTAGTTTTGTTTTGTATACGTACATTCATTTGCCTTGCATTGTTGACATAAGAAGAAGAAGATAATTTGCTTGAAAGGAACTCGTTCAAAATATATTGATGTATTACAGAGAGTAGCAAAAGATAGAAGCTAAAAGAAGAAAAGGCAAGCTAGTTATTTTAATTCCCTTTAATGGATAGTTTTGTCATCTGGAAAGCCATAAGCTGTATGGTCACCCTGTTCACATCTTAACATTAGAAAATTAATCAAGAAACCTAATACAATAATTTCACTGCAAACTAAAAAAAAAGCATTACCAAAGAAAAGTTAACTCACAGCAATACATATACAACAAAACTATCACATAATAACCAAATACAAATTGTTTTATACCCCCCCCCCCCCCCCAAAAAAAAAAGACCAATCGCTACTACTGCCTAAGTGTTCAAAGGCACTATTTTAAAAAAAACTTTAGATTACATGCTGTACCACTGAGAACAAAAAACAATTCAAACTAAAAATAAAAAAAAGAGTACACAAAAAATAGGGGGGCAAAAGTGTGCTGCATACTAGATCACATACAATACAATACACTATACAAATCACAGACAAAATATAATTCAAAATGATGTGGAAATATTTCCTGAGACTGAATACATTTCTCATTAGATAACCAGGTAAAGAGCATCATATTACTATTAAAGACATTTTATGTAGTGCCTTTTACATTTTCATTTTGATAAGTCCACTATACTTATAACATTTTAAAAAGCAAATGATGAAAGCAAGAGGACACCAAAGGGTCTCTTTTATAAGAAATATGATGATGTTTTGATGTTTAGATGAATGATGAGGATGTTATACCTTTACAAGCAGAGCCAGCATCTGGTCCCTCTCCTGCGCTGAGGCTAGGTGTGGAGTTGCTCTTATTCCGACCCAGGATAGGTCCTGTAGCTCCTGGTGTGGATCCAGGTATGGAGCTTGTGACAGAGGGGCTCCTGGTACCTGGGATGGTGACGGTCTTCATGCGGGGGAGAGGTGGGGGCTCTCTGGAGGGGAGGGGCTCGTTCTGTGCAGCTGCTTTCAACACTGCAGCTACCAATGCTAAAAGAAAACAAATTAAGAAATGGAATGTTATAATTGTAAAGTACTGATTAAAAAACACAAAAAGAGTTGTACATGGCAAGACAATGTCCCGTGTGGGTCTGTTGAAGAACCTTCTAGTTTTTCTCAACAGTCATTCAACAAAAAGGTTTCCTGAACATTTATGTCACAGGAAAATGTGACATACCATGTGTATCTGTTGAGTTTACAGACATGTAAATTTTGCAAGAAACATAAACCTATTGGATATAAAAGATCATGAATGATACATAAAACTTTACTCTGAAGTATACATGCTTGCAGCTCAACTTGTAACAATTTCACCATTGGTATGCAAATGATGCACGCTTCAATACAAGATGTTTCTCTTCTCATCCAAGTTAACTCGGCAAAAGACAAAAAGTAAAATTGTATTTCGACATGCTTTAGCAAACAAATTGAGAACCAATTTCACACCCAGCCTAAAGTAACTGATGGTATTGTTACTTACATTCTCTCTCACTAGAGGCTAGACCCTCGGCTTGGTGAGCTCCTTCAAACTCTCTCCATCTCCAATCAGTACTCCGCCCTCTCTGTCCCATCACCATCTGACGAAGTACCTGTGAACGCACCAGCTTACGCTGCTTCCTCATACTTGATTCAGGGTCCTTCACCACTTTGGCTGGAGCAACACCTGGGTGGGAGCAGCAAAATTTAATGAGGGGGGAGTTGAACTATAGGAATTTGTTGTTTTCTCACTGTTTTTTCTCAGATAAATTTGTGAAGGCCTTATCTGTCCATTGATTTCACGTTTTTTGAAGAATGTAGTATTGCTTAATTATAGAGGCTACATTATCCAGATGAAGTATTATTGGCATTCAGTGATCCTCTGAATTACATTTAAGTGTTTGAATAGTGAACTAAAAACTGATTATGTATTAGATGAAATTAACAGCTTGTGGTCATAAAACAAGGCAAAAAACCTAGGAACTCACTTAAGTTCTCTTCCACGACCCCAGTGACAGTGCCATAAAGTTCAAATCCAGAGAGTGAGAGATAGTGGGTCTGCCCACTGGCATTCTTGCCCATCTGTTGAAGACGAATGTAACGCCAGCCTTTCTTCTCACTGGTCGAAGGTTCCAGAGGCCATGTAGCGCTGGACCTGATAAGATAAGATAAGACAATGATATCAATGCATGATGTAAGGCTAATGGAAAGCATGCCATGTGGATGGGGGGAAAAAAAAGGTAAAACCCTCAAATCAACAAGACAGAGTGCTTGTACTCTTAAGTAAAGCATCAATCTTAAAATAATTCGACCTTAGGACACAAATTCCAAGCAATAGCATGAAATAAAACTTCAGATCTAAAGATGGAAAATGCAAAAATATTCAGGGAAATCATGGAAAGTCATGACAATCATTATCATCCCTGTTTAATATCTGGTTGTGTTGGGTGTTTCATTTCCGTGATGACTTTTCTCCAAGCCTTTCCGCATCCATCTGGGTGACAATGTCTACATGTTCCCAAGAGTTGGACTTTGCCTGTAAACTGTTTCCTTACCCTGGTTCATTGAGAGAGCAGTCATCGGTGTGAGTGAGTAGGGTCATCCAGCTGATGCCATCCTTAGACATCTGGAACTGCCAGTTTCTCAGGGCAGAGCGGCCATAGCCCCGGGCATGACGTAGCGTGTAGGCAGATGGTATCACCCATAAGCCAAGGTCGATGGAGTACCAAGCTCGCCTAGATCAATGGAAAACATATCAAATTTGGTGTGACAAACTCAAAGTGAACTGATTTGAGATCTACTTTACAAAAAGGCAAGACAGACAGATGTTAGATGATATTTGTGGTTAAAAAATATAGGGGTCAATAATGATGTTCAGTTTATAATGGCTTCTTTACTACTATGGCTGTCTACAAAAGGATTAATAATTAAATTGATTAATGGAGATAACATTGAGTACATAAAAGGCACAGATCTGGAAATCAATATTTGAAATTAATACATTATCCAATGTCATTCTCATTGAAACTTATGCAACTACATATGAAATACTATTGCAATTTTTTCTTCTCATTATCTCAAGTTATACTGGGCTAAGTATTCAACAAGTTAAAGCTCTCAATCCTTTGCTTACTTGTCATCGTTAGTGTGACAGTTGAGAGCGGACGAGTCACGACTGAGGATGTCTTCTAGACGGCCGTAGGGAAGACCTCGTCCATCAGAGCTACTGACCACTATCAGACCATATTGACCAGGGTTGACCCATTCATACGCAGTTCTGGATAGACACAAACAGATATGATTGACCACTTAGAAATCAACCAATCTACAGGTATGACATTTCATCAACATAAGCTGTCTATACTAAACTATTTACAAGTACTTTTGTCTCTGTAGCTCTCTCTCTATTAAAATTTTTAATTTCATTTATTTTATATATAAATTAACATATGATATTACATAATAAAGAGCGTATAAAGCCTCATTCATACATACATACATATTCATAATGTGGTAAAAATATATATATTTTCTTCAATATGCATAGTGGTGAGCTTTATAGTTTTTTCATCATACAACGCACAGATAAATGAGTAAGCTTAGGGGCCTTTGTTGCGTGCACCCAATATCCCTCCCTCCCCCTTGCCAATAATTTAATATAAAATGGTTTTACTTTACTGCAGTGTTGTTTATTTCATTCATATGTGAACGAGCCCTTAGTGTGCCTTTATGTTAATCTCAATCTCATCCAACCCCCTTTCCTTCTTGACTGACAAAAAGAAGACTCTTCTACTCACTTTGCATTAGTTCCCACCCAATAGACGATGCCATTATCATCAAAGTCATGGGTGTGTCTGAACGTGATAGACTGTGCTTCCTTCAAACGATGTACAAATGTGAAGCTTGTTCGCTCATAGTCATACCACTGCTTGGCAACCTGTAACACATAATCACATAAGGTACATTATAAGTGATATACAAATACAGCGATTGAAGTCTATTACAACTGGGAGTTGGTTTATGCAGGAATTCCTAGTGCTACAGGTGTGAATTCAAAACATTTTTTATTATTTTCTTGTATTTGGTCATGAGAGAATTTCATATTTATACATTTAACCAATACATACATACAAAATGTCTGGAGAGTCTAAGCTATGTGGGAACATTATTACGGTTCATACATGTACATGTAGATACTAATCTGTATGCACCTTAATTCATACTGACATTATCCCACACACATTTTCTATTCATTCACCAGTCCACCTATCAATTTAATTTTTTATTTCACCAATTCATGAATCCATCTCTTAAACTGACACAATTTTATTACATAACCTAATCATATGTTCACAAGTCCTATCTTGATTTTTTTTTTCTCTTTTATTTCCAATGGTATCAAGGTATAACTATCCACCCTCCTTCACTTTCCCTCATGTAGACACAACAGTCCCACTCGTACCATCTTGAGTAAGTATCTCTCTAGACTGGCCACAGTAGTAAGAGGTTCCATCTTCAATGTTCTTCCAGTTCTGTCAATGAGGGCGGTCTCTCCTGTAGCTCTCTCCAATCTGAACCTCAGCCTCCGTGTAAGAACCTGATATGGAACAAAGTAAACTTAACTTGTTAATCTTCACAAATATATATAAATATCTTGGCAATTTTGGACTAGTTGTAACAAGGGAATCTAAACGACAATAGAGTACCAAAGCTGTGACCTCATAAATATCAATTTTTAAAATTTCTCAATTTTTCCTTCATTTCCAAAAGAGCATCAAAAATAATGTCTGAATGTCGAAAACCAATGGAATATATTCCACATTCGGACATTATTTTTTGATGCTCTTTCGGAAAATGAAGAAAAAAATTGAAAAATTCTAAAAATAGATTTTTGATAACATCACACTTAACCACTCTATTAATAGAAACATCTATCTGTTCTAAACATTAGCAGATACAGCTAAATCGATCAATACAAGCTATCATGTGTTTATTATTATTATTTTTTCCTTCTACCACAGAGTAATTTCAATGTGTGATTGAAGAGGACATGCTCACCTGAAGACCATAGCTAGAACCAGCAGAGTCGTATATGAAGAGAGGAAGTCTCTCAATGGATTCCAGAACAGCTACCAGCTTACGTACAAGCATCACAGAAGGAGATACACCACTGTAACAACAATATGCAAAAATACATCAGACTACATATCGGTATAATAGGCACAATTCTAACTTTTCAGTTTGGAGAGTTTCAGGGCTTTTGTGAAAATACACTATATCACATGTATATATTTGTTTGTTTTTTAATGGAAAAAAAAGTCTTTTGAATTGAATTGAACACTACCAAGTATGAAAGTTTGGCACCAAGTCTTCTTGTAATAGTAATCAAATATGGTAGTGAAATGATCTAGCTTTATATCTATCACTGGAATTTAGAAATTGTATTACACTTTCTCTAGTGTAGTTTACACGACATCTATCACTGCATTCAGAGAACACTTCGGACTTACATGTACTTCATGACATTAATGAAAAGCTTACCATCAAGTCATAATCATTATCCTTTTCATGATATAAAATGGTATAGAATCCAGAATCACATGCTTAACAGGATCATATGTTAAACATATACAATTTGGAAGGAATGTCTGGATTTCTTATGCATTTTCACAACTGAAATATGTGTTTGTAATTCCTCCATCTTTTCAAAGTTTTAAACCAGAAGGGAATATTTTGTTGCATGCACTTACCCATCTTCATCATTGTTATCTCTGAAGGATGATTTGAAGAGAGCTACTCTCTCCTTGATGTAGCGGTCATGAAGAGCAACATGATCATAGCCCTAAACAAGGGAGATTCATGGGGAAATTAAAGTTAGAAATCAATTCCATTGGTAACAAAGATATGATTCAAACTAGAAATATGTTACATACATGTACATGATCTTTATATCACTAACAACATAAAAATAAAGTTAATTCGACATTAGCAGTAGTGTAGTTATGATAAAATCTTTGTCCACTGCATACCCCTTGATATCCATTACTATTACTATCATGTAATCCTTTTTCCGTCATTGGCATTAAATTCAGTAGGTAAACAATAATTCTAATCATCAAAACCAATTATATCCCAATCTCAGTTTTTGTCTCTTTTTCAACTTAATTCCTGTGCAAGACCAAGAAATTTGGCATACATTACAAAGGGTTAGCAAACTGTACCATAGTATTGAAATTGAAAGAAAAATTTGATTTTTATTTTATTTTTGTCTAATTCAGTTTCTAGTAAGGCCAACAGCTATAACCGTCTGGAATACTGTAATTGTAAATATGGTCGTTAACATATGGGACTAAATAGCTTGGACTTGCCCTCCTATCTCCCATTGAAATGTTTATGTCTCACATTAAGAAAGCATACGCATGATTAAAGGCTTACATCACTGAGGCAGTAGAGTAGAGCCTGCACAAGGCCACTGCTGTGTAGCTCATATGCTGAGATGTTGTTCTCCTCTCGTAGGAGACAGGTTAGAGTCTCGAGAGCGCCCTTCATCTCCTCCATCCAGCCTTGCTCATCATCAATGCCCTGCAGGGTACACAAACACAAAGTATTAGGAAACTATGCACTGATATTGTACAATAGGGCTATTTAGTTATTGATATCTATTTAGCCTTTCTTCTCCAGAGTGACCAGGATGCTTCAGTATCATACCCATTATGTGAGTTGAATATCGAATTACATGTAGAAAAATCTACTTTAAATTTTATTTTACATGAAATGGGGAAACATGTACTTGTTTACTCTCTTCCTGGACATGTCTCATACTACAGATTCCTGTTGCTTCCTGTCTACTTTCTGTATCCATGAGACCTTCATGTACCTCTAGTCTTGAAAGATACTTTTATTCACTTAATTGAATGAATGGAAGCATATATGAGGCTTTTAATCTGGCTTAATCACTTCCTGTATAGTTCCATCACGTCATGAACTTAATTTCCTATTGACATACAATGATAGCTTTCCACCAGGATGCACCCAGCCTTTTGTGCTTAGTCATCTTTTGATTTCATGTTCAATGGAATGTACCTGCATTTTGATACAGATAGTACCCTGTACAATTGACTGTCTTGCAGGCCTGTGAATATGCAGGGGTGGGCACTAAAAAAAAATAGGTTTTTTGTTTTCCCCTCAACCACGTCCACCTTGAGTAAAAAAAAAGAAGAGGATTCGAGGGGGGATAATGTCATCTATCAACATTCCCCCCTTTCGAGTAAGAAAATTGGGGAAAAAATAGGGCAAAATAGGGAAGAATAGAGAAAATAAGGGAGAAATCGGGGAAATTGGGATAATCGGGATAAAATAGTGAAGAAAAAAAAATTGTTAAAAAAAAAAAAAAATCTGGATTTTTTTTTTTTTTTTTTTAATCGGGAAGAAGAAAAAAAATTGGGGAAAAATATAAAAAAATCAGGAAACCGATTTAAATCGAGTGTTTATCAGGCCTGATATGGCTGAAGGCTACATACATTACAATACACTATGGAACAGCACTAAGTAAGATGACCTGACCCTATTGTGAATTGGAAGTGACCTGCAACAATAGAGCATTATATGTTAGATAAAGCACCCCTATCCCCATTCTCTGAGCACACAACAAATGACCAATTTTGTGCGTTGTCTTGTGCTTCATGAAGATATTCCTGGAACGGCACACCATGTACCTGCATTATTAATCACATATCACCCTGTACTTGTTACTGCCTTATAATAAAGTAGTTTGATTACCTTGATGGGGTCATTGTAGAGGTCACATGCAGCCTCTAGCTGCATCACAATGGAGTTGAGTTTGGCTACGACATCTCTGGGATGAGACTCTGCAACCTTGAAGTAACCTTCATACAGCTCACGAGCAAGTGTCTTCACCTGAGAAAGAAAGAATTTTAAAAGGATAAATGGCTGTCGCTCATGCCATCAAGTATTCAATGAATATTCCTTCCGTAAAAATATAGTAATGGTCAGCATTGATTTGTCAACTACAAATTTGTATTCCCACTGAAGTACATAGATTTTGTCCTTGCTATTGATTTTAAAATTCAAGATGATTAAATGACCTTAACTTTTATCATTTATGACGCTGCATTTCTCTAAAGGCACATTTGTTGATGTGCCACATTCGCACAAACAACAGGTAAAAAGATTTGCAATAGGATTGCATTATACCCTGTAAAACCTTCAGGTAATAATCATTTACTTATCTCAAATACATATAATGCTATTTTTCTATACAAATTTTGCAGTAGAATTTTAAAGGGAATATCAAACTTATCAAAAACTATTGCGAATGATTCAGTTATAAGTCAAATCTACCTTTTGCTGGACCTGTTCCAGTTTAGATCTAAACCTCCTTCCTCTCTTCCCGGTCCAACCAGTAGAAAACTCTGGACCTAGTGAGGTCTCTGCAATGAAAGAGTGCTTAGTCCCACGATTAGACTCAAAGATGAATCCAGCTAGGTCCTCCCTCAGGACTGTAGCCTGTTGCTGTGAAACGAACGAAACATTATAGACATTATAGAAGGACCATGACTGTGGGTTAGGCCTAGGACTTACCAGGATTATTTTAAACAACGACAGTCAAACCTGCTTTAGTGACCACCTGTCTACAAAGACCACATTTTTTGTTTCCCTTGAAAATGGTTTCTCATTGAAACATGTACTAAAGGAACCTGTCTACAAAGGCCACTTTTTGGTTTCCCTTGGGCGGTCGCTATAGACAGGTTTGACTGTACCTTCTTAATTGCAACATCTAATAAGTACAGAATGCAGTAAATGTAGATCATCTTTTCTTTGAAATAAGTGATCCCTAAATTTAATTTAGTAGATATCAACACATTTCATTGTGAAGAAGCCTCTTAGAAATGATGAGAAAGTGACTAAAGAGAAGAGAACATGTTTTTTTATAATCATTATATTGTTAATACATATAAGGCATACTTCCGAACAATCAAATCAAAGATGTTTTGAGACAACTTAGTTCTTTTAATTTATTGGTGGTACTGTGCATAGCAGCACCTTCCAAATCAAAGATTTTAAATACATAAATACAGTTCGCTATTTCATGGTTGGGTTGAGAACAATATCAAAGGAGAGATTAAAACAAGACGTAACTACATATGGTTTGCTCCATATTCATACTGACCTGTTGACCGTCTGAGTTGTGAATGACCAGTTCACCTTCTTTCTTGCACTGTAGCGTCCAGTTACCTACCACTAGCTTGGTAGGACCAGGTATGGAGAGGATAGGTTGGGTCTGGATAGCAGGCATTACTTGACTTCTAGCACGCTGTAACTTCTCAAGGAACTCACTACGGCTCTCTGGGTAAAGCAAAGAGGAAAGACAAGGATGTCAAATAATGCACCAAAGTTAGATGGTGAAAAAATACACCATAACACTGCTAAGCAATGATACTGTAAGCAACCAACGGTCAGAGTGGACAAGGGGAAAGAAAGGCATCCAAGATAGATGATGTGCTGCTGCCAATATAACAGCACTAGCTGTGGCTGAGGAGGCCTTAGGCTTGAGTGGCAATACCTTGAGCTCAGGCCACATATAAAATTATTACTTGTCTTAATACTCTATGTATAAAATAAAATAAAAGATTGAAGCTCTTGGGGTACATGGTATAGTCATGCATGACCTTCAAACATACCAACCCATCATTTAGGGATTGTATTACACTTTATTTTTTGTAGTTTACATGACATCTCACCTGAGCTATCAGAGCCTCCCTCAGGGCTACCACTGGAGTACATGGTTGCTAATTTGCCATCAAGGATAAACCTGAACCAGCCGTTACTGCCATTGGAGAGCTCCAACGCAGCAGCATCGCTCCAGATATAGAGACAATCCCTACCCCGGGCTAAGCACCAATCCTTCCAGCTGTAAGGTCGACCTGCTACCACCTCCTTAGAATCATCCATCCTCTGTGTCTGGGGTTGCTGCTGTAGCTGCGGTTGTTGATGTTGCTGTTGTTGTTGTTGCATATGTTGATGGTGTTGCTGCTGCTGCAGTTGGTGGTGTTGATCATCAGGGATCTCCTGGAAATAGATCAGCATAATTCAAGGTTGAGACATACACAGGCAGGCATAAGACTTCCATTAACTAGAGCAAAGTGTTATCTACTACATGACTATATTTCAACAAGATATAATTCTCATGAGAAAATAATCTTTGTCCTTGAAACCCATAATAGCATTCAACTGATTGATATACTTTACATCTGGTTAAATGAAACTCAAGTTGAGCGCATCTCGGGAGTCTCATGTTGTGATGGATGCATGTGCATTGTAAGAAGCCAGGTATCATCATAATAATTTTTATTATCATTATCGCAACTATCATTATCTCGCTTATCATCATAGCAATCCTTGTTTCAACTATTATTGTTAAAAGAAAAGAAAATAAAAGAAACAAAAATCACAATTTGACTCACCCTTTTGACTTGAGCAGTGGCCCCTTCTTCCTCCCTGTCCTCATCTAGAGGTCCAACTAGGGAGGACACCTTGCTGAACACCCCTAGTCTGGCAAAGTGATCAAGGAACAGATCCTGGCCTTTGTACATCAGGTCTTGAATGATCTGGAGGGCTGTCAGGTGACCCTCGTCATCATCCTTTCAAGTGAATGAACAAAATGAAATTGTGTTATCTTTGACTTTCAAGTACACTGTCATGATTGTCATTGTTTCTTTTATCATCAGTTGTAGCTCAGTAGATGAAGCGAATGAAACAGAATGACCGATGTTGAGTACTAAGTCAGGAGACAAGAGCGATAGATAGGAATAAATTCTTACCTATGTGGTCACTAAGACCAAAGTTATATAACTGCTTTACTAGCACCCATGTCAAATGTACATATATCAATCATTACACATTTAATCAATTACAATTTCATAGATTACTCACAATATGTTTATCAGAATTTGACAAGTTAGTATGATCTATTTATAATTTTTAATGGGTACAATCATTTATCATCATCACCATCACTCTGTACTATCTTAACAATGTTTACCTCATGATCTAGGACTGCTGCTAGTACTTCAACCAAGACGGGTGTGAAGCCTAACAGATCTCCTGAGCAGATCTCACATAGAAGCCTGGACGGTGCATAGTGGATCATCTTACGTATAAGAGCTAGTGTAGCTTTCCTGTAGAGCAAGCAGATGAAATATCATTTATCTCCTTGTCTCAAATATAATATATATATATATATATATATATATATATATTTCAAATGTTTATGGAAAGGGGGATTCACTGTTTGTATTGTATTCCATAGATGATACCTTTTTTTTAATTATAACTTGCATACATTTAAGAATTAATCTAAGCATAAAGAATCAGCTGAAATAATAATTACTATCACTTTTATTTAGCTGATGTTAATAGAGTCGGCACATGAACTTGTACAAATCTTTACTGAAGAAGAGGTTTTTTCTCCTTAATTACAATATCTACCATATATAAATATCATATTTATAAAATGTAGATCAATTGAGAAAGATACCGTCTAGTCTATTAGTAGAATTTTAGAATACAAACTGAATGTGTAAAATAATGTTTATATTGTTTAATTGGGAAGGAAACAAACTTGAATGAGGTCATTTAATATCCTTCAATTTAAGAAGTTTAAATAAACTACACAAAGTGCAGAAAGAATAGATTCTGGGTTATAGCAATAACAACACATGGTCATTGATATTGAACTTCATTTTCCAATGTCAATCATCTGTGATCCTGAATGCTATGTTTGATGGAATGCCAATCATACAATCAGCAGCATAGTGAATAGGAAACAATCACAATGGATGACCTTGTGTATAATGTCACACCTATGATCCTGTGTCAACAAGCATGCACTGCTGTCTCAATGGTCTGTTTTGATAGGAAGCACATCCATGTGTATAGTGACTGTGCTTCCTCTGTCTGTGATCTCAATCATTACAACTTGAAAGCGTGCCAATTATGAAACACATGCTGCATCAAGCAATCCAAACCAGAATTGCACTCACTTGGCAGTATATTTGTCTACCATTTTTTTTATAGAAACAGCTGGGGTTTCATTCTTGAGGTACGGATAACTTATGCAAATACATGCTTATCATATAACTAGGAAGCAGAACTAAAAAACAAATATTGAAATATTTTCAAAATTGTATAACAAAGCTTTAACATACAGAATGAGAGTTGTTCGTAATCAATCTTGCTGCAAAATACTGAGTATTCAAAATTTGATAAATGAAACAAATAAAGAAACAACCAAGAATCCTCTGACACCAAATAAAATACTAAAACATGAAGAGGGGAAGCTAGAGATACAAATGATATGAATCATGACTACAAGAACACAAACACAGATAGGTAGACAGACAGAAAAGGAGAGGGGGAAAGAGAGAGAGAGAGAGAGAGAGAGAGAGAGACATACACAGGAAACACATACAGAAGACAGGGTAAGAGACAATCAGAAAAGGAGAAAGAGATGATCAGAAAAGGAGAAAGAGATGATCAGAGAAGGAGAAAGAGAGAGAAGAGAAAGAGAGAGAGAGAGAGAGAGAGAGAGAGAGGAGAGAGGGGGGGGGGGGGTGTCAGGTTACCTGGACAATGTGCGTACTAACCTGACTGAAGGCATCATGGTGTTGTTGTAGACTTGAGCAAAGATAGGCAGCATTTTCCTGAGGTAAACAGGAGCCATCTCCGGGTCTCCCTTGGGTTCCCTGTCCCCATCCTCTGGTTTGATTTCCTCCGGGCTGGTTATGGTAGACTCTGTGGCTGATGATACAGGCACCATCCATTCACCTTGGTAGGGTAGGGTAGTGTACGGTACACAAGAAAGAAGAAAAAACAGTACACAGAAATGAGTGAATGGAATATAACAATGATGACATCAACTGCATCAGATAATTTTTTTTTTCTTTTTTCTTTGACTGATAAGATACAAGCATCCTACTTTGCATCAAATGTAACAAAACCATAGTCTTCAAAGAAAATGTTACCTGAAAAACTCATCCAAAAATTTTAAAGGAGAAAAAAAAAAATTTAAAAGACAATATTACCAATAAGGAGACTTACCTGGAGATTGTAGAATCTGCATGACCTCACGATGACCTTCGTCATTTCTTTCCCTAGCCTTGTCCAAAGGAGTTTTACCATCTTCATCCCTTAGATCAGGATTAGCACCATGACGAAGCAGGGTCTAATTTATACAAATTGATAAGTGAGTAGAAATGAATTCCTATCTGTTTCTGGTTTTGGCACAATTAGTTTGGATTTGATTTTACATAGCCTGAAATGAAAATGTTTTAAAAATTGATGATGATTGCAATCTCAACAGTGTTAGTGAATTCAATTAATGTAAGGACATTAATTCTCTTCAATCTTGATTTATTTTTACATTTTCATAGAGCATAATTATTCTATTTTCTCTTAAAATAAACAAACTTCATAACAATTTCCCATTTACTGTGTTTGTTAGGAAATGATGTAAATTTAGCCTTCATCAAATTCTGTACTGAACAGGATTCAGGATATGATTTCATGTTTGTTTAACGGTCAATGATCATTGCAAGGAGGGGGGGGGGGTTCTGATTCATAGAAGAGCGCTCACATGTCCACACACATGTGAAACTAATCACATATCCTGTTGCTCATTCCAAATTCAAATCAAATGTAAATAATGTATGACATTGAGTAAGTACGAATGACATGTAACTCTGAACAAAGGGGAAGCGAGTCATACACAATATCTCTATCAAATGAAATCCTACAGATATGAAGACAACATATTAAAGACAGACTTTAATACAGAACTAAGGCTTAAAAGGTGGAAAATTGAGAAATTCATTATAAAAGAATGAATGAAAATGACAGATAGCATGAAATGGGAAAACACAAGAAACCAATACATTTTTTAAAGATATTTAAAAAAAACTAAAACACATTACTTAAGAATTCAGGGTCTAAAAATGGACATGATTTTACATACCTTGGCTACTTGAGGTCTACCAAAGCATGCAGCATAGTGTAGAGAAGATGACCTTTGACCTCTGTTGACGTCAGCTCCTCTTTCACACAAAAACTCAACCTGAGGGAAGATTACAATTAAAAATCACTTAAAATACTATAACATTTATTTGAAAAAAAAGAATACAATATCCCTGAAAATAAAGATTAAGTGAAAACTTAAGTACAAAACCATATATTATTCCACTTGCTACATATAAATGGAGTAATCATATATTCTTATCAAGAAATAAAAATACTGATAGATTTTGTACTGAATGCAACATAAATACATGTAATGGAAGTTTGAACAAATAGTGGAATGTTGATAAATGTATTCATAAACACACCTATACCCTCAAAAACCACATGGTTATAAATGTTTGTTTCATTTTTCTCTCATAACATGACTATATCTATCAGCTGACTATTATTAGATGAACTAAACTCACCATTTCCTGAGTTCCAAAGGCTGAAGCCCAGTTGAGCAAGGTCTGGCCTACATCATCCATGTAGTTTACCTCAACTAATGGGTTGCAACAAAAGAACAAGAAAACAAAACATCAACATTTTTCTTAATTTTGTTTTCTCTTGGCTTTCTTTCATTTCTCTGTTTACATACACAGTACCTCGATAAGAGTTCTGCTTTCTTGTTGAAGTAAACTGAAAAAGATGTAAAATTGGGACTTAACGTAACTTTACAATCATCTTCAGAAAAAACGATTCCCACCCCCCCCCCCTTCAAAGAAAGGAATAAAATAATAAAAATAGAAAATTTAAAGTAACACGTTCAAAACTTAACAACCAAATAACATCATTACATAACTCATTTTTTATCAACATTACAAAACAAGAAAATCATTCAAAGTATTTAATATAAATTGCACTATTTCACAGCTCCTAGTTCATTTTATTGTCCACCAAAAATTCAAGATTTGATATGTGCATTCTCCGAAATGTAAAAAGAAGATGTTTGAAATGAAAATACATAATAGCTAGAAAGAGTCTCATCATCTCTTACCTCCTGTATCTATAGCATCGATGAGAGCATCGGTGTCCTTGCTACGGATACAGTCAATGAGATGACGATGGGTGCGTTCTCCAGCGCTGTCAAGGCGACGTAGACCCGTAGTACTGCTACGAAGCCTAGGGGCAATGCTGGACTTGGGGAGAGCCTTACGCCCCTCAAACAGAAGCACCAGAAGGAGGTCTACCAGACGCATGGTGTCCAGGACACATCTGTACGGTGACAAGGTAGTTCAAATAAGGTTTTATTCATTACTTGTCAACAAGTCCGAAGACTAAAAATGCAAGTTTACATCAATATAAAAAGCATTCAAAAACATAAAGATAACATAGCAAATGAGGACAAATATATAACAATGAATACATTTTTAAGTTAAAACATTTAAGTAGTAACAAGAAAACAAAACAACAAAAATTTTTTTTTTAAAATACAAGATATGAAATATTGCTAGCAAAAATGAATAAATGTTGACATATAAACAAATAAAATGTATACAGATACGTGAAGGTAGGGATTGTAGATGAAGGGAACTTTATAAGATACCAGCTCTCCAGCACACCTTAAGCAATTACAGCACACACAACAAAATGCAATGAAATCAGACTTTCTAAATGCTAAATATTTGATGAACATATTCATGCTACATACCTTTCATCACCCATGAGAGCCTTCTCTATTGATGCAGGGAGGTCTGATCGCAATAAATCCTAAAATGAAACATTTTAGAAATTCATATTACTAACTGCTGCTTCATAACAATAGACATATTTGCTTATTTTAGCATGACATTTAAAACTCTGTATAAATACAACTTTAAATTCTACCATGACTTATCAGAATGTGTATTTAGAAATTCTTTCACAATAAGCAAAATTGTGGAACTGACAGCAATGTTTATCCCACACAATAAATGAACTATTTTACCCTAAAATCAAAATTTTTCTTCCAGAAGAAATACATGTATACATAAATTGTGTTTTAATATCACACATTATTAAAATATCTTTAAAACTGAAACAGTTGACTACTACATATGTAGGTATAAATTATCTCCAAGAAGCCAATATTTACATGAGTAACAGTCGGTGAACCTCTACATAGAGTTGATAGTAGACTGATAACAGTAGAGATGTTAGGGTTGCTCTTGGAGTCTGGTGTCGCCCCTGCTGCTGGCCGAGGGGTGCTGGATGGGGTAGTGGTGGTGGTAAAGGAGGCAGGTTGGCCACAATTGGCCAGACGTTCTAGGAGCTCATTGGTCAGTCCATGACGGGCAAGAGGGGCAGGGTCTACCCCACGCCTTGTGAAGCGGTCAGCGAGGGATGCAAAGCAGCGTAGGGCTCCATCAGCAACCTGAAATGTATTTGGGGGGGGGGGAATTCATTTTATAATTTAATAAAATTAAAAAATATTATGTTGATGGACAATCAAGCACATAAATACAACAAATACTGTGGAAAACAAACATCCCTCAGAAAACAATGTTTACAACTTGACACTAGAGTAAATGAACTTCTACATGTACATAGACTTTCCTCTGTGAATACAAGATTAAGTCAAAAATAACTTAACTATGAAAAAATAAATTGAGATTGCTTTACAGAAAAGAAATCAAATTTATTTCAAATACAGCAAACTTCTTTGATCTCACATGTATTACAATCAGGATAAGGATACAATCAGGATAAGATACTTAGTAAAGCATCTATTGTTGAAGCATTTAATAGGTATTTTGTTAATATTGGAAAGATTACACAAGAAAAGATACCAACTTCTTCCTCTCACTTTCTGGATTATTTATCAAACCGTGTACCAAGTTCACTGTTCTTCAATCCGACTTCCAATACTGAAATAATCAATGTTCTCTCATCCATGAAAACATCTGCTGCACCAGGTTCGGACTCTATTGCTGCACGTGTCATTAAGGAATGCATTCATACAATTGTTGATCCTCTTTGTTATATATTCAATGAATCAATGTCACAAGGTATTGTCCCTTATAATCTCAAGACCGCTAAGGTAATTCCAATATACAAAAAAGGTGACAAACATGACATTGTTAATTACAGACCAATTGCTCTATTACCTTTTTTTTCAAAAATGTTAGAAAGGATAATCTACAACAGGCTGTATACATTTTTTGCACTAAACAATATTTTGATACCCCAACAATTTGGATTTCGAAAGAATTTTTCTACTGATCTTGGCGTACTGAACTTGGTTAATACTATATCACATGAAATAGATGTTGGTAATTATTGCCTTAGTGTATTTATGGACCTGTCAAAAGCATTTGACACCATTGATCACCACATCTTGTTAAAAAAATTTGAATTTTATGGAATTAGAGGGGTGCCACTTCAGTGGTTCGTCAGTTACTTGTTACATAGAAATCAATATGTGGTGATCGATGGTGTCAAATCTCAACATATGGATGTATCCTGTGGAATTCCTCAGGGATCTGTGTTAGGGCCCCTCCTTTTTCTCGTCTACATTAATGATATAGTTAAATGTTCTTCAATTCTAAACTTCTCTTTGTTTGCTGATGATACCACTGTTTCATTATCACATAAAAAAATTGACAATCTTATATCATCAGCAAACAATGAACTAGACAAATTAAATAAATGGTATGCTTGCAATAAATTGTTTTTAAATTTTGACAAAACTAGGTATATTATTTTTCGTGCGAGAGGAAGGAGGGTTCCGTCAAATCTGTCAAACCTCATTATTGGTGGAAATGTCATAGAAAAGGTCGATAATATGCAGTTTTTAGGTGTAATTTTGAATGAATATCTTTCTTGGAAACCACATCTTAGCTCAATTTGTACAAAAATATCAAGATCTATTGGTGTTCTTTCTAAATTAAGACTTTTTGTGCCCCAGTCTATTCTGACGACTCTTTACAATAGCATTATACTTCCTCATTTTAATTACTGTAATACTGTCTGGGGTCACACCTTTAAAACCCATTTAGATAAATTATGCATTTTACAAAAGAAAGCAATACGAATTATCTTTAATGCTCCCTTCAATAGTCATACAAAACCTTTATTTTCACAATCAAATATATTACCGTTAAAGGACCTGATAACCTTGAATTCCCTTGTGTTTATGTATAAATTTCATTCGAAAATCTTGCCTCCTCTCCTTAGCGATATCTTTGTTTTGAATTCCTCAATTCATTCTTACCAAACTCGCCAAATTAATTTAATACACTTACCTCAGGTTCGTTCTTCCGTCGCCTCAAATTCATTTATAATTCATTTTCCTAAGTTATGGAACAAACTCCCCAACAATATCAAAAACAGCTCAACTCTTTCCAGATTTAAAAAGCTGAGCAGGGAAATCTTACCTTCTTTATAAAATACTCTTGATATTCTTGTTCGCTTTCATTTGTACTGCCCTCCTATACATGTAGATACAGTTTTTTGTTGCTGCTGCAGAAGTATACTTCTCTTTTTTTTTTCTTGTTTATATTAATGTTCGATGTTGATATTTTTTAGTATAATTAATGTTGATCTTTTTATGTATTATGTATTGGTGGCCCCTTTTTATAAGCTCTGCTTTCTCCGGGGTCACCAAACCATCATTGCATTATTCTAAATCTTGATGTAACTTATTTTGATTGTATATATATATATTGATGGTTGAACAATAAATGAATTGAATAAGCTCAATATGTCATATTCCCACATTTATGAAATGTAATGAATTCAAATAATTACTGATTTGTAAAATGTTATAAGGTTTACAATTTTACATTTACAACTGTAAATGTATATGTACATGTACTGTAGCCCCAGTCTAACAGTGTCTACTTTGCCTTCAATTCTGGGCTACTACCATACAATTAACAATAACTATGAACAAGAAAAGCACCTAAACTATTTTTGTTTGTACTGTAGAAACCTCCCTGTTAAAACTACCAAGGCTACCACAAGCTTTTATAAGTGCATTGCACATGGTATGGCTATACATGTAGTTAGAACTGTACAGTGGGTGAAAATTGTTACCGGTAAACAAATAAAATGACAAAAAAAATACATTATATCTTTCCCCTTTTGGGTGTCTCAGGTTGAAACTACAATGAAACAACATGTACAGTGTATATGTATATGTTTACAGGGAAATGTGATTGATATACACTATGCTCGTAGAGCCTCTAGGCTACATGTACATGTACATGGAAATAAAATAGCAGGTTGATAAGACTGTATTTCTGGGTGACACACCACATGGTATATCAATCAATCAACATCACAGCTACTTAATACATGCAATAACAACAGCCAAGCATACCCTGGGCTGACTGCTCATGATTCAAGTATATCATCAGCGTATTTTGGGTCATATTTAGACTGTCATTTGAATGAATGTGCGGTACGTGTCACCTTGTTTTATTGATTCTTTCTTATCGAATAAGATCATTTGATTTACTTTTGAATTTTTTTATTGGATTTCTTAGGTTGGCATTTGTATATATTTTCATGTGATAAACATGTAAATCATTTAAACTTTTCAGACAAAAAAATTGAGCTTTAACTGTAAAGGATATGTCAAAGGCTAATTTTTTAGGAAAAAAAAAGAAGGTGAATGATAATTTTTTTCAAAATAAATATACCAATATATTAATCATTCTTGCACATGTTAAGAACAATATAAAAACATTTTTTTAAAACCTTGGTAGGTTTCTTGATGCAAGAGAGTGGTTAGAAGCTTATTTCAGACAGGGCAATCTCTTACAATACGAAGAAAGATACCATACATTGGAGTAAACCATACCTCTATTGACCATGTATGTAATCGTGTCAAATCTTTGAAAATAATGAAGCCATCTAGTAAAACGGAAGCTATAGACTGCATCTACTACTGGGTAGTGTAACCCTTATGTCATGTCAGTGTGCACACCTTATTTTAAAAGGACCTTATCGTACTCCACGACTACTGTAGGAAGCCATTCTAGAATATGCTACAGCTTCCCTTTATTGTATGAGACCATAATTACATAAATATTTCTGAGTTATACCATTCATAAACAAGAATTTTTTTTATTTTCATATACTTCTTTGACAAGGTTTTCATATACAGGTATATGTAAGGCTTCTTGCTTATGAAATGGAAGCTCACTTGCAAAAAGGATCCAATATCCTCTCACAAGTCGATGCTCCTATTATGATCGCTTAAGTAACTTGCATTAAGCAATAAATATCATGTATACAAAGTCTGTATAAGCTTCATAAAGAAATTGGTATTTTCATATTTTCATATATTTTATAGGAGAAAATAAAGGTTGCATGAAATACACTGTAGGTATTTCATGTGTAACATCCATTTTGTAAAATTTTCAATTACATTTTAAAGTGTAAGTATAATACTAAATACCCGGTACCGTACGTAACAATTGTCTCACCTACAAATTTACTCAAAATATGCAATGACAAATCAGGTAAAATTTTCTATCTTGCTACCATAAATATCTTTATAATCTCTTTCCTTGTGGTAATACGCAATAGAAAGACTTTGCTGTAGTACTTGTTAATAAATGTGGTATCAATCTTATTCAAAACGATAATGATTCAAACAGCGTCAGTTATTATTTTGTTGTAGGGTATTGTAAAGTTTATAAAAGTTCAGTCAAATTATGAGATTAAAGTTCAGTTTCCATGAATTATACATTTTCTTCAGCAATTTACTGTCATGAGGAAGGTCTGATGTAATTATGTACACTAACAAATCTATTTAAATCTGCAAATCCCTTGCGAAGGACTTTGCATTAATCAGGCTCAACAGAGCTCTGTAGGGGTATTATGCAGTACATGTACATTGTGGCAAGCCACAGAGTAATCCAATAGAACTATGACATGTAGTAATAAGTGGTTCTGCAAGTTTTATTCAATATAGGAAATACATGGGGATTATAAAGAATTTTAAAAATAAGCCATTAGATGGTTCAAGAATGGGTTATTCTGAGTACTTAACCAAGTGAGGCAGTTGTGCCGGGTACTGCAGAATGATTTGTCCATGTACATGTTAACAAATGAATGAATTGAAGAATTGCATAAATCACTAAAATTACATGTTATCACATAACAAAACTCCACTTCCGTCAAAGTAATGAGAAGTAAAAGATAAAATCAAAAAATACATGTACTGTATTTATGGAATAGCTTTTTGAAACTTTTTGTTTACACTTCAGGTTTCAGTTGTGATATTTATAATGTGTGAGGGAAATGTATATACACTGGAATAACTCATAGACAAACAAACAATTCAACAATCTCCATAAGGAGGAAGGGAGGGACTGCAAGATATTTATTTATAGAGCACTGTATCTTACTTTCGGCACAGCTGACTGACATTAAAGAATGCAAGATAGATGCCTTGGCTCTTACCAGTGATAACCATCTCTTTATTAATATATTCTATTGTAAAACCAGCAACTTTTATATGCATTAAACTGTCACAAAAACCCTCAAAAGATTTGCAAAGCTTCATGCTGGAAAATAATTGAATCACAGCTGACGCAACACTAAATTATTGCAATCGTAAAAGTTTTGTCATGAAAATGGCTGTCCTTTAATAGCAATTTGTGAAAGTTTTGTGTTGTGACATTTTCTGGTTGTACATTAATCTTGAACACTCTGCTTCTATGTTCTTCCATTCTGAACAGAATTACTGAGTAATATGAAATCTTAAAGCCCCACTGCACTTCTTATAGCTACTTGCGTCCTCTATACAGCTAACAATGCCTAAGCGGTACCCGTTGTTCCCCCATGATGTCCTTTTTCTTATGTTTATTGAGGGACCTTGTGACCTTGCAGGGAGGTCTAATCCCTCCATGCCAAACAAGTGCAGAGGGGCTTTAATGTAATGTAGATTTGGGATGAGAAACTTACATGTGGATCTTCATGTTTGAGGAGGGTTGAGAGGGACTCTACACACGTCTCTAATGAGGTGTCTGAAGGCTCCATCTTGCCACATAGCCTGGAGACAACTGCCATAGCAGAGTGTAGAGTATCCTTGTGGATCATGGAGCCATTATCTCGTATGAAAGAAAGGACGCAATGCAGACCTCCAGCCTCAAACACAGCTCCAGACTCCCGTGTGCACATCAATTCAAGGACCTAGTTCGTATAGACAAAAACCAAGAAAATGAAACTTAATTGAGAAATGGAACTCAATCAAAGATTGGCAGTTGCTAATTGATGTAAAATTATTATCTGGATTTATTTAGCAGTCAATTTGATTCATTATTACATTAATGTAATTCTTAAGTTTAGTTAAATATACAGGTAGCTATTGTACATACTCTATTTTGTTGAAACTGTAATATCTCATACAATTCTCTGTACACAGACAGTTTACATGTAGATATTTCACCGTTTAATATAAAATAAATGAAATACTAGTATCAAATCACATGGCATACTAAAAACTGGGAAATATTTACATGTAATGTACTTGTGGGAAGAAATGACTGTTCCAGGCAATGAATTTTTAAAGCCATTCTTTACATGTACATTATGCTTCTTCCTAACAGTACATTGTTTGTTTGTTTTGTATTCCTGTTTTGGGGGACACAAAGCATCTATAAGTTGATAATTCTTTGCTTGATAAATGTATAGCAAATGCTTTGAAAGAGTTCAGTCATGCTAGACACTATTCATGCCACAAAACTATTTCAATGAAAAGGGAAAAATAAGGCAGATACACTGTATAATATATATACACCACTTTCTGTTCTGAATGCTTCAATATGTTTTATTATTCTAAAATTCTAAAAATCTATCAATGACAAACACCTATACCATCAGCTATACGTTGTATGCAAATAGTCAGTAAAAAGAATTTTCATACTTTTGTAAGGACATTATTTAAAGTATCTTCAAAAAGTTAATGTACATGTAGTTACAGAATAATCTAAGTGTAGGCCTACACGTACATGTACATGTACATGACATACACAATCAGCTATTTGTTCACATACTCATTTGCAAACAGAAACTATAGAATACTTTCCACATATTGGCACTACATGTATTTCTTTAACTTCCAAGTATTTTTGTAGCATGTTGTTGGACTGAAGGATAATTCTATTTCTGGAATGATGATACATGTAAATATGATTTGTTCAGTGCTCTCCTGGCAAGGTGCCTCTCCCTCCTTCATAATGTCTCTTCTAATCAAGACAAGACATGAGTCTCTCATGACTATGCCTCTCTCATACTATCTGATCATGTCTGCCTTGTGAATTAGTGCAAGAAACTATTACTCATAGGTTACCTACCTTGATACATTGTTCGGCCAAATCCTTGCTGGTTCTACAAGAAAGCTCTACAACAACCAGACGATTACAAAGGGCCTTGACGGCGCCATCTACGGCCACGATCCTACGGGTGCATTCTGCCGAGACATCCAGGTAGTATGTGATGGCTCGGGCAGTCACTTCCAGTACGTTGTCCGGAGCATGCTCATCAAGAAAGATACGGCATAATGCAGGAAGAAAAGTCCTTGGTGGACAACTAAAAATATATAAAAATATATATATATAAACATTATGTTTCAAAACTACAACTTCAATGCTACATGTATTTTCATGTCAAATGAAAGGTTCAGGGGTTTGCCAATATTACGACTACCATATATGTAAAACAGACATACATGTACAATGTACTGTACAATACATGTATTTGCCAAGAGTAGAAAAAGAAATACGTTCTACACCCTAAATGGCCCTTTGATTTCTATTTTTATTTCTAAGTACAACCTACATGTACTGTACATGTTCACCCTGTTCATTTTTGCTCTCAAAATTATTTTCAGAAATATTTTTATGATCTAGTAAATAAAGCCTTTATACATGTACATGTATGTAATGGTACAATAAACATCCTTAGAATATTTATGATTGCTCATATAATTGCAGTATGAACCCCTGTGTCATCTGGAATAGACATGAGCAGAAGATAAGTCAGTGATGTGTAAATATGACTATAGAAAGTAAACTGTATGACTCAACCCAGACACCTTTTATCCAAACAAGAATTAATATCCATGTACATTTATGCATGGCTTCACACTAGCACCTACATGTAAATAGAATGTATATCTACACATATTCAGTTTGCTTTAAGTTTCTTTTTAAAAGTATAGCGCAATTTTTCCAGTAGCCACATGCCAGGGAAATATTAATTGGCATGCAACTCTCATTCTTCTTTTAGTCTAGTCTGGCCTTTCCTATTCAATTGTTCTGTTGACTAGATTCTAGCTTTCCTCTACTTCTTGTTTATAGTAATATGATACAGCAAGGTGAAACTAAAATGAGACAACATGATTCACTGAGACAGATCAATTGTAAATTAAAGGCGATAATGTTGCCCACAAGGTATGGATGACATTTTTTGTTATACTGTTTCTAAAATAATTTAATTTATGTAATTTAATAAGTCACCAGTCACAAAAGTGTGTACTATGCTAACATACATTTGAATATGTTCAATTTTAGGGTCACTAAAGCTTATTTTTCCTGTACATCTATATGTAGGCCTACATGTACAGTATGTCTTTATGTACATGATCAAACTGAGATTATACTGAGATTACACACTTGCTTTAATTCCCTTTTTGATAAATTGTTGATCTAAACATGATATTTTTACAACATTTTAGGATTGTTAACATTGTTTTTCAATTCTACTACCAAATTTATGATCACAGAATTCTACTCAAAGATTGCCTTTAAGTTACATGTAGCTGTGAGTGGCAGCTGCAGCAACACCTAATTGGCAATTTACTTCCCTGCGTGCTGAAAAAAGTGCATAAGTTATTCACGTTTTTTTTCCTGCACGCCTACGGTGTATTTCTACTTCATCATTTCATGCACATTTTGTACACAGATGTTCAAAGCCCAATTATGACAGGACACGTTTACACCATGACACGTTTTCTTGCAGAGTGTGAGCTGTCTGATCACAAGTTATGAAACATGCATGTATCTCAACATAAGGGAAATGTTTTATTCAGAGGCTGGGGATAAAGTACACATCTTGATTTTTAAACTTCTAGGAAAAGTTCTGGATTGATTCAAGAGAATAATGTAGAGAATTTTGAAGTGTATTTTCTTCAATTGGTGCACAGGTACATTTTTTTGCATTCTTCCATTGACAAAATTAATGTTTATTTTATTTATTTATTTTTAATCAGAAGCTAATCCATTTTTATTACAGCGCAAAATAAATTGTTTAATTAAAAAACGTACCATATTTTCATTCACAATGATACAAACAAACAAGCAAACTGTCATTACTGTTTATTCATAACAATTACATGTATTTTTTGTTTATCATCAATGATATAGTGAAAACAGCTAGCCCTAACTCTACTTTTTCATTGCTCTCTATTCAGTCTCTCCCCACATTTGCTGTTCAATCTCTGTGTCCACAGCATGATACAACCGCAACTCCGACATTCAAAACAAACATTTGAGACACATACAATGCACACATTGCAATTCAATTAAAGTCAGCAGCCACGTCAATTGAGTCATTTGAATACTTTAAATGCACTGTAATCCTGCCACTCACTGGCAATCATTTAAAACAGTGAACACGTAAATGTACACGTAGGCATTAAAATTGCTTTGTTCTGTGAAGTTTCAAAATGAAAGCATTACTCTGTTTTCCATGAACCATTGTTACAAGTTATTTTCATCAACCCCCTGGTATTGTGTGAGATATTGTTTTCATGCCCTCTGACTCTTGACTCTCGTTTCTCTTGACCTCTAGCAGTCATAGAGACATCATCCCCTTCCTTGCCCAATCCCTAACACCCCTTGGATCCTTTCTCCCCTTCTTCATTCACACCCCTCCCCTCCCTTTCTCCTTTGTGTAAATGAATGAGCTCCTTCAACCATTAACCCTAAGGTCAAATCATTTGCATACGTGTTATACCGTCTTTGATCCTTATTATTTTCAGACATTCATGTACACAACAAACCGTCTCTTCTGTTCTCAGTTTCTCGCACCCCTTTCTCTCGTCCTCTCATGAGCACAGAGCATGTTCCTGTCAACAGGGAGCCCTAACACAGTCACATGACATGCATGCCATGCCCTTATTACTCAGTGGTGCCCCTATAAATAGCAGCAAACAACACCATAGGAATGCCTAACCCTACTGGGATGTTCAGTGAGGTACTCTTCTCTGAAATGGACGATCAAGCTTCTGTTTACAATACTGCTGCTCCCTTAGTGTTTCAAAACATTAGCTCAAGTTTAAACATTCTTATAATAATATGCTATCCATAATATAGAAGAGAGAAGGCACTTAAGGGAAAAACATGCAGTGTAGGTACATGTACATGAATCCGGGCTAACTCGGACCAGGGGACAACTCGGCCCAGCTACAAAAACTGTCATTTTTTTTGTCATTTAACCCTAACTCTAACCCTAACTCTAACCCTAACCCTAACCCTAAACCTAACCCTAAACCTAAACATGCAAAAACTGACTGTTTTTGTACCTGAGCCGAGTTGTCCCCTGGTCTGAGTTAGCCCGACTCCATGTACATGTACATGTACGTATGCCGACAGTGGGATTAATACCCATTACCCAGTTAAGATCACACATGTTATTACACTACACTGTATAAATTTACAGTATGTACCGGTATACAAATATGCAGAAACTGCCCCCACCCAAAAAACAAAACAAAAAAGTAAAAATAAATCAAATAAATGAATAAATAATATAAATCCTGAATCCCCTCTCCCACTCATTTTATGTTTAAAAGAAAATAAATGAGATTTCAGATTGGTAAGGTTTAAACAAAGTGGTTTAAACTTTAAACAATTTAAAGAAAGTTAAGAAAATTTGAAGGTTGAGTCGAGATGTCCATGTACATAGTAAACGTTGCTTTAAATATGAAGGTGAATTGATGTGACTTGTACTATGATGTCATTTTGCCTGACCCACAAATTACTTAAAAGTCTAGTAACTCACTTTTCTTATTTCTATGACATAAAGTGGCAGTATTATGCTTTTTGTATCACTGCTTGTTTATGTTTGTTTGTTTATGTTATTTTTGTATTGTTGTTTAGTTGAGGACATACATGTACAGTACACATTACATGTACTGTATGCTACAGTGTACCATAATTAACGGTGTTTTTTTTTTTTTTTTTTTTTTTTTTGTGTACCGTGTATAAACTGCACCCCCGACTTTGAATTTTTTTCTGCAGCAAAAAGGTGCGGTCTTCTTCTTCTTCTTCGATAAGAAGAAGAAGACCGCACCTTTTTGCCGCAGAAAAAAATTCAAAGTCGGGGGTGCAGTTTATACACGGTACACACAACAACAAAAAACAAAAAACAAAAAAAAATCGATTTATGCCCCTCCACCTGGCGCTATAACTGGCAATGTCTCCCAGCTCAGTACTCGGTGTGTTGACTCACCACTTGGAAACTAGAACAACACTCAAATTTGTCTGCCATTTTGGTTTGAAAGTAATCTTTCTGATAGATTTCAATATGTAGTTAATAATAATAATTCCTCCAATTTTTCTTCTATTACACGGCTTACCACAAGGTTCTATCCTAGGTCCTCTACTGTTGTTTAAGTCGGCAAAAAAAAGTCTAAAGGGCGAAAAAGAGGGGTGCGGTTAATACACGAGGGCGGTTTATACAACGTTAATTACGGTACATGTACATGTATCTATGACGCAACTTTATTAATTCCTCCAGAGAAACTCAGGAGAGAAAGGAAATTCATCAATCTTGTCCAAATATATGTTATAGACGAATGACCAATACGCCAATTTGAAATTCAGATACAGGTATATTTGTTATTATTAGTCAAATTCTAAACAAACTTTCCTCAACCTAATTTGTTTGCTTTTTCCTGCTTTCAGCAAATGGATATGTTACGAATTAAGAAAGCGCTTGAAGTATGTTTTGAATGTGAACAAGCCTAGCTGGTTTCAAATTGTTATTCATGTACATGTACAGTACATGTAGGACTATTATTATGCAGGCCAACATTCCCTAGTTTAGAATGGAGCATCTGTATGCAAATGTTTTCAGTTGTTTGTCATCCAAATAATGGAGACAAAGACAGGATGACTATCAATTGGCACTGTACAACTGATCTTGTATTATAAGGTCTCTGAACTCATTGACATGCATGCCATGTTGACAAAGAAAGAACAGTCAGGAACATAAACACACACACATGAACAATACACAAAAGCTTAAATTGGCATTTCTGTGACCAATTGTACACATACAGTACATGTACTGTACACTATGTAAGACTCTCATGCATTCTGACTGCAATCATCAAAATAACCCTAAGATTCATGTGTGTATGTTGTTTATACATGTACATGTACTACACACAGTGCATACATGTATGAAAATATGCACAGGCAATAAATACATGTCATACATTGCAGCATACATTTTGGCCCGAATTCACAAAGCAAGGTTTGAGCTCAGACCAAGGTTTGAGCTCAAACCTCCTTTTGTTTCGCCAAACCTCCCTTTGTTATTTACAAACCAGGTTTGTAAATAACAAAAGGAGGTTTGGCGAAACAAAAGGAGGTTTGAGGTCAAACCGTGGTCTGAGCTCAAACCTTGCTTTGTGAATTCGGGCCATAATGTACACTGTAAGGGCTCTATCATAATAATGTTTTGCTCTGGGCAATTTTCAATGCTGATACGTGGGACAGGTTCACACTTGATTTGATGAGCATGAGCTAGCTCAAGGAGTATATCATCCTGATTCCTTGAACATATACATGCATGAAGCTAGGTGATGAGGCATAGATCTAGCTAGCCAACTGTCCCGGCCCGGCTGGATAATGCAATATGCATGACTCATACATAGCAAACCAATATAAACGATGATGACAAAACAAGGAAGTCTCAATGATGTCATTGTCCCCTGCTGCACTACAGAACAGTTTTGGGTAATTCCCAGGTTCATTATTGAATGCAAAACTTATAATGAGATATGATGTACATTTACATGTGTACTGTACATGAACATGTACTTTCAAACAGCCTTTTTTGTTTTGATAAACGTGACCTGTAGACACTAGAGACCTACAAAAAAATACATGTAGTACTACATTTTGTGAAATTCACTTCAGTATTAAGACTAAGATAGCATCACAATGTAGTTTGTTTGCATTTATATTGTTTGTTTTTACACTACCTGCATAACCAAAAGAAGGCATTGTACACAATGACTACTCGATCTTTAAAAATGAGATGATCGATTCGAGATCTACGTGTACAGGTGTATGTTATTTGATATTTAGCTGATAAACAAATATTGTTACTGACATTTAACCCACATGTACAGATGTGAAATGTGCCCAGTGGCCACTGCACTTTGTCACGTTTTAAAATATATGCTAAGTACATGTACTTTGAACTACCTGCAAAGTACATGTACATGTACATGTAACTAGATGTAAGGATTCACTAATTTACATGTACCGGTACACGTGTGTGAGATTTTATAGATGATAATAAATGTACTGAACATGTAGGTTAGGTTTATAGGTAATATGATAATACTGTGTAAAAAATTAAGGCTGTGCACAACAGTGTAATGAGGTCCCCAAGTACACTCCCAGGCTCACAAGCGAATACTCGAATATTCGGACGCCATGTTTTTTTATAATTTTTTGACTTTTTTTGAATTTTTTTAAATTTTTTGATTTTTTGATTTTTTTGACTTTTTTTGCCACTACCATACCACTCGGCAGTTTTTGATTTTTTGATTTTTTTGACTTTTTTTGCCACTACCATACCACTCGGCAGTTTCCCAGGTCCCTCGCTGAAAACGCATGCAATTTTACTTTGAGTTGCAGTAGAAGGCGCCGATTTAATAAGAATAATAACAGTAAACAATGCTGTTTTAAAAACCAAAGATGGCAGAATAATCCATTTTCCTCGTTTCTGAGTGGTGATTTTGACAGTGCTTGAGTTCGGAAACAGTTTTACCGACGGTACCATGCCAGGGGCTGCCGCTCTCCCTGGGACGGGTAAGCGTCGGCCTGGACAGTGCCAGGTGACTGGGTTTTTTTTTTTTTTTTTGCGGCCGAATATTTGTCAACAGTGTGGGTACTCGAGCATTCGACTACTCGTCGCAGCCCTAGTACAGACAGGTACCGTATTTGCCGGCGTAAAGGCTGAAGTATTTTCGAAATAGATAATATCAAAAATTCTGGGTGCGGCCTACATGTATGCGCAACAACAGTCAAAAAAGTATTTGTACATATGGGACTACAATGACTTTTTTCTTTTCTTTACATGGACTAATATAGCCTATAATTCAAATCTATTTTTATGAGATATCCAACATTGACACCCACTCTCAGTAAAAATGCAAACTACTATTGTACAGGATTTACTGTACTATATATGTATGATATTTAGTTCAAGTTAGAACTTCAGGATCATCCTTCCTTCATGAACATGTTAGTGTACCAATGCATCGGTTACTTTTCATCATGAATTCAAAGTGCATCTGTACCGGTAATCCGGTATACATTATTACATTGTAAACTAAAATTACCATTTAGTTTTTCTCATAACTATTTAAACAATGTACCCCCCTCTCCCTCTTCCATACAACAAATGTACATGTATGTCTTCATTATTATTCAATCTCACAAAAACTGACAACTTATTTTTCAGCATATTACAGCAGACTTAATCTTAACTTTACCCCATGTGTCATAAAGGATATTCAGAAGCCTCAGGTCTTCTCAAAAAGTCTCTCTGTACTATCCCTCAAATACATTCTAAGGGTCACACTCTTTTCAGTTTGCCAGAAATATCACAAATTGTGATACTGTTGACAGACTTAAAACATGTCTTTAAATGTTTTATATTTTTAGAAACAATAACAGATATTAACTGATAACTTAAGGAAGTATATATATGCTGAGTGTATCTCACTCTTCTCTTCTCTTTTATTTCCTTTCCTCCATCACAGCGCATACATGTAGGGACATATTTGTGATATGCGCTATATATATATATTAAGTATGGTACATCATTATTATTTGATCAGATATTGATATTTCTTACAAGTCTCAGAAGTCACATGATTCTCAATTAAAAGGTGACTTGAAATCATACAGATAATAAAAATATCAAATATAACAAAACTCTAATCGAGTAGAATTCAACTTTGAAATAAACTACAATGTACTGTACATAAACCAATGGAATCCTCACCTCTCAAAACACCTATCCACATTGTCTGACATGAGAAGGAGCATACACAGCTGCTCAAGGGCTATGAGCTGCATGTCTCTCTCCTCCCCTTGCCCCATCTGGAGCCACTCCAGTAGGGTTTCTGGATCCACTTCTGCCATTGCTGAATCTGCCTCAGCTCACGGCTCCCCCTTACACCACAGCCAACTTCTGCTGAAGAAGCCTCCCCTTATAATCGGTTTCCCACTGTGAGATTCTATGCATAAAAACAAACAAAACAGACAGTTGAATACCATATTAAAATATAAAAGAGATTAAACACGAATAAAGTCCCGGTCTTGATAATGTTGCACTAATTGATAATGCTGCACTCTTCAATTCATATTTATACAATGCCTTGAGAGACTCTAGTAACATGCAGATTTACAGGATTGAGACTTGAGATGTTTTATTTCCTGTGGACGCAGCCTCCCAAAAAAAAACAACAACAACAACAAAAAGTACATACATGTATAGAGCCACAACAAAAAGGCAGTTGTTTGAATAATTAAGTTTGGCTCAGTTGTAAAGTAAGAAATACATACATGTAGTATGTATTTGTGGTTTTGTCATTAACAAATGGCCCACAACCCAACTTTTTAAAATCCATTCATTCTAGTGCCGAGTTAGTGCGAACCACATCCAGGTATTAATACAGTGCACTGCTTTCAAAATACAACCTTTAAAGTTTAAATGTACATCACATCACATGTCAGTTCATTGGAAAATTAGGATGGTAAGCTCCAGTAACAAATTTTCACATTGCTACTGTAGTTCAATTCGATTTTGAAGTGTGTTGCATAAATAGAAAGAAGAGTCCTCCAGCTAACTAAATAACAGCTAAATAAGTTTACAAGGTTTGTTGCGTGCATGAGTGAGTGATTATAAATGTTCCCATTTGTGTTTTTGTTGGAATAATCAGGGTTGGCATATTTCCCGCTTCGGAGGCTTATTTCCCGGACGCCGGGAAATAAGCGGTATTTACCAGTATTTACCGGTTTTTACCGGTATTTACCACTTTTTACTGGGAAATACCGGGAAATATATTTTTCCACTCACTTGTTCATAGGGATTGTCCAATTTTGAACATAACAACAATGGTGGTGAGTACGGTTGCTCTTGTGTGTACTATTTGTGTGTGTGTGTGTGTGTGTGTGTGCTTGTTCGTGTGTTTGTCTATGTCTGTAATTATGTAATGCTGGAAAAAAATACTGGAAAAAGATACCAAATATACACCTAATCTAGATATGATGTTCTTCATTAAAGGGAACTCTCCATGCCTTTTGTACATCAAATTTCACAAGTCTTTCGTTTTTTTCTATTTATTTGTGTTCTTGATCGGATTTCATAACATGTGAAGTAGAATATCATTTTGCATTCTATTATCTCAACCACAAGAAAGAAGGAAAAACATGAAATTTGACGTACAAAAGGCATGGAGAGTTGTCCACAAATGATGTCATCAAATTGAATATCGCCCTCTAGTGACTAGTCATTTAAAAAAACTTTAACTTCCTTATTCCTAGCCCGATTTTTGTTCAAATTTTCACTGATTTTATTCAAATATCTTAAACTTTACAATAAAAGTAACTTGAATGAAGGTTTTGGTTCCCAGTTGCTAATTACCATATTCATGAATTAGCATATGCACAAAATGCCATTTGTTTGGGTGTGTACAATTTTGTATGCAGTGAGGATTTTATAAATCTGTTTGTGTGTTCCTAACTTCCTACTATGAGTATTGTGCTGCTAATTATTTCAGAACAATATTTTCAGTTATGAAGCTAAAAACAAGTAAAATTATTAATAAATAGAGAATTAAAATCATATTTCCCATTTTTTACATATTTACCGGACGCGCATCTTACTTACCGGACAGTATTTACCGGTATTTACCACCGGTATTTACCGCCCAACACTGTATTCCAAACAGGCAAATGCATGCAAAGTAAGACTTGGTGATATCATTATCATATTTCATAAATCACCAAGCCTGTAAGACAACATGTACCTTTTGGTCGTTTAGTTTAAATATTCACTGTCTACATACTATCCTTTTATATGGTGGTGGTGGTGGTTATTTTACCTGACTGCTAAGAAAGCATAAATGCTTTTAAGTAAGCAACTGACGGCTTTAGGTCCTCTCCGAGTGACCTGGTAACGAGGATTAATGCCTTACCAAAGGGCACTAGCGCATTGCCTTGGTTTTGAACCCAGGTCACCGGATTACGAGACCACTGCTCTACCGACTGAGCTATCGCGCCTCCTCAAATATAATTTGTTATGATCCATACACAAAACAAACAGGCTTCTGACCATACGGAGGAATTTTGGCTGGTAAAAATGCCTTGTTTTTTATTTTTTATTTTTACCTTCTCCTTTCCGTTTCGGTTTAATAAAATTTGGAGTGGACTATTAGGCTATTATTACTATATTATAATATTATCATTATTATTTTGAATGTTACTTGTTACAGAAGCCTGAAAATACTGACCAGACGACAAAATAATTTAGGACAAGTCGAAAGTTATCATCAGGAACACATGGATTCAGATGGAAGGTTAACTCCAGGGAGCTCCGACGACGGAGCTTCAGTTCTAATCCTAAAACACAAAAGACATTCTTTTCGAAATGTGAAATGGTAGTAATTACAATTTTGACTTTAAATGTTTTTCGACTCCTCTGGGCATCGCGCCCCACACTTGAAATTAATTTGAAGAAGTCTTCCATGGGAAAAGGGGTGATTCCTGGTCCTAAACCGATTCATTGATGTTGTATCGTTGATTCAACATGGCGAAGAGACAGTATGCATGCACGGTATTTGCACAGTGAATATTCATGACAAAAATTTGACCCGTAACTCTGGCGTGCAGATACCCTACTAAAACATACCCAAAATGAAGTAAATATTCATTAAATGTCCCAATAAAGATAATGAGTTAAAAGTTGTTATGTTTATTACCTGTTTTGTGTCAATTTTCTTGTTATTTTTGGAGTATTTTTCGGAAAAACAATGATATCAGTATTCACTTTTTCTCAGGTTTCACGGCAAACCGCTGCACAATACAAGTGCATACCGATGGTGGGTTGCGGGCGGGCGGGCGCGCGCCTGTGTGAAGTTATCTACCGTAATGAGGATCTGAGACATTACGGTAGATATCTTCACACAACTTTGGATAGGTTTCTGAACAAGCACCGATTAGTCTAGGTCTAGATCTGGAGCTCCGACGTCAGAGCTCCCTCACCCTGGAGTTGGTTAATGGAAGGTAGATCTAGGTCTAAGCAAATCGCTACCACTCCGGTAGCAAAATCAGACATTTCATACTTATTCTTTGACCGATTTTAAAATGCTTTTTTAAATAAGGTCCAACTTGGATGAACACTCTACAATTGTGACTCATGTCAGTCTATTCTGTATCCTACTATCCTTGCTTACTCAACTAGGCCCAACATAACATGACACTACTGTGTTCGTTACACAGCCACAGGCATATAGGCCTACACAAAGTTAAATGGCTGTAAATATGCTATGCATTGCATTGTCGTGTTAGCAGCGTCGACGGCAAGATTTAGCAACATCACCAGGCAGCGAGAAAGATCGAGAACACCACACATTGCATTTCAACATTACAATCTTAAAATATATGTAAAAGTAAGGCAATGAAATAATAGCCATGTTCAATACTCACTTTAATACAAATATGAATAATTTCCAAACCTTAATCCTTTGTTTGGACAGTGATTGTTATGTATTTTCGGAGTGTCCCCCTCCGCTTTGTCTCTCATTTTCTGTTGTGACGATTGAAACCGGATATTGTAATATACGGCAATCTGACCTATGACACAACAAAACGCACTTCCGCGCAATCTCTAACTGTGCCAACATAAAAAGCGAAAATGTGCAGAACCTTTTTATAAATGAAAACTTAAATAATTTAAGAAAAACTTTTAGCATCTCATTTTAATGAAGACGTTATTTGTGTATGGAAATCATTTTTCATGATGAGAAGACAAGGCAAAGTAAACACGCAAATTCTGTGTTTTTTTTTTTTTTTTTTTTTTTTTTTTTTTGGGGGGGGGGGGGGGGGGGGGGGGCGGGGGTTGTTATTTCACCATACCATCCCGTCTCTCTACCCCCCCCCCATCCTCTCTCTCACTCTCTCTCTCTCTCTCTCTCACTCTCTCTCTCTCTCACCCTCTCTCTCTCTCTCTCTCTCTCTCTCTCTCTCTCCATCTTTCTTTCTCTCTCTATTTATAAGCCATTATTATATGACAGATTTAAAAAACTTGTTTTGGGATCAATTTAAAGAAATTGCATATAATTATGAGTGACTTCCCCCTCCCCCCCCCCCCTGGAAATCATTTTTCATGATGAGAAGGCAAGGCAAAGTAAACACGCAATTCCTATGTTTTGTTTTGTTGTTTTTTTTTTTTTTGGGGGGGGGGTCGGGGGCGGGGAAGAGAATATATAGGTTGTTATTTCACCATACCATCCCATCTCTCTATTCCCCCCCACCCTCTCTCTCTCTCTCACTCTCTCTTTCTTTCTCTCTCTCTCTCTCTCTCTCTCTCTCTCTCTTTCTCTCTCTCTCTCTCTTCCTTTCTCTCTCTCTCTCTATCTATAAGCCATTATTATATGACAGATTAAAAAACTTGTTTTGGGTTCAATTTATAGAAATTGCATATAATTATGAATGACTTCCCCCCCCCCCCCCTCCCCCACCTTGCAGGTCTGCTACTATATGTTGTTATCAAATAAATAGTCACTCATGATTATATAGTTGTTTAATGGATGTATTGCTAGATTTATTACATCAGAGGAGACATAGGAGACAGAAATTATACAATTAAAACATTCTTAGTGGAAAAATTTACAAATTTCAATTTGGTTCCACAAATTTTCATGTACAGTACAAGAAAAAGTTCAGGAATGTAGGAATTTGAAATGACATTCATCTGCATAATGTCAAAACAACCAGGAATATAGATTAAATTATATATTTATTTACACACCAACATTATTGATGAAATATTTTGAAAACCCAGTAATTTTTAACCATCAAAGTGATATTTCAGTTTTATACAACATCATAAATGTAGACAGATTTTTAATCAGCAATCTTACTGACAACACAAAATAAAGACAAAATCCGGTTTAAGAGATTGACTTAATTTCCATAAATCATATCACATGAAACTGTTTTAAATTTACCTGATATGTTATTTAATTTCCATGCACTTTCTCAACTCCTCCATAACAATGAGTATATGGATCCAACTGTTCACACAGTTAAATATAATCTGTATTAATGTTCACTATTTGCAACAGTAGCCCATGAATCATATGCCTGATGGCCAACAAATTACCAGCAATGAGATTAACAAAAATTGTCAAAACCATGCATTCACTCAGCGCTTTCAAATAAATATATGATGAAGAAATATACTGATTTATTTACCACACAGAATCTTAAAGTAAATGTAATAGGCCTAGATGATCACTAGTTCCTCTATAAACAAATACTAAAATCAAAAACATTTTATACACCAACACAAATCACTTAATCCCATATACTTTGCACATTCATTTCAAGATAACAAAGTTATTAATACTTACAATAATATTTAAGCAAAAAAACAACCATCTATTATTTTCTGTGTTTCATTTTTCTTCTACACGCTTATTAGCACTACATAAATATGCAACATAATAATGACGTATTCATCAATCGTACTAACAATATTGTATGTCATAGGCAATATACAAGCACAAATACTCCACAACACATGAATTATGCAAAAGTGAAATTATCCTACATATTAATAAAAACTAATGAAATATATACCGAGTATTCACGACAATGAAACATCACATTCTCACAAATAAACATATATTTGGCAACTTCAACCCAACTTGTGATAGAAAACCCAAAGAAGCATACCGTACTTGTCAAAAGGGAATGTTGTGACACAAGTAATGGATTTGAAGATTACATGATGTAACACACACACAGAGTAGTTTAATTTAGGTTTAACAACTAAATTATTCATACCCCTGTTTATTGATATTTTTGCGTTTATGTAACTCAAGAATGACAGGTGGACTTGTTGAATTACCAGTAGAGCCTTTGTTAATAGTGTTAGGTGTAAGCTTTAATTTGTCACATCTCAGGAAACATAAATCAGGACTATAAAATGTTCACATACTACTTTAGTTATAAACTGTATAAATATGCATATTGAGAGTAGTAAATGCCTGTGTGATGCCCATTACAAACTCTTCAATTGGTAAATGACATTACAACTGACTGCATAATTATTTAAAGATATACTTTTGTAAATATTTGCTTAATGTTTTGAAGTATCAAGACATAATTACAGAGTGGATGATAGCCAAAATAAGGTGGTCCATACAATAGTCAGGGAGAAGGACAAAAAAGGGAATTACTGATATATTTTCTACTTTAATAATCATCATCACTTGCTGGAGAGTCATCATAGTCATCGTAATCATAGTTGAAGCTTGCCTCACTCTTGCTCTCCTCATCTCTTCCTCCACCACTCAATATCTGGGTGGCTCCTGAGCGTCCTTTACGTTCCAGGAAATCCTCACTGATTCCTGCACTCTTCAGGGCACTCTCATATTTTCGTTCTGCACGTTTCTTGGCATTCAACTAAAAGGTAAAAGGAGAGGGAAGGGAAACAAATTAATATATGTTTTTAAAAGATTATGAATTATTAGATTCTAAATGCTAATATTCGAACATTCATGTGGTGGAGTATTCTATTAACCAAAATAATGACCACTATAAAAAAGAGTTTTTTTAATCAATCTTCTATCACCCCATCTTTAAAACTTCACTCTTCAAAAAGTCTTCTGATTTTAACAGCTCTGTAAAACTGTGTTCTTGGCATTTCATTCTAAACTTACCTTTCCAAAGAACGAAAGTTACGACGTATCAGGCATCATTTGTAAATTGCACACATATCTTTAGTAAACACAACAAAATGTCGGCAGCTAAGTTGTCTGCTACATAGTGCTAGAGGAGAATAACTTGCAGTGCCCCACTGAAGGATCATGTTTATCATCCTACCCATCACAAATGTGATGCAATACCCCTTCATGTAAATAAAACACCTCTTATTCTTGTCCAGTTTGATGATTTTCCCCATCAAAACTTTATCCGAAAATGAAGTCTCCTTCAATACACATCTGCATACTAGTAATCATGCAATTTAAAGAGAAGGTTGAGTTCTGGTCAATTGATTGCATTGTGAAAGAAACGTTGTGGAATCAATCAGAAAAGATTGATCATCTAGCATATAATGTGTATTGCAAGGTTCTGGAATCATCAAAATGCTAAGAAATATGGCCCAATCTTGGTAAAGATGCGAGCACTGTAGACAGAAAGGTGTATATATGGGACTAAACAAACATGTGGCAAAAAAATCCATCCCGATTTTTATGATGTTACATGCCATATTTAGAATGTGAAGGCATTTGAAGAACCATGCTTTTCAGGGAACATGTTTTATCTGATGTTCTTCCAAACTTTCAGGATACAATGATAGTGCTCACAAACTATTTTTCACCTCTTCCCAGAACTCAACTTTCTCTTTAAAGGCCCACTGCACTACTTGTAGCTACTTGCGCCCTCTATATAACAAACAATGCCTAATCGGTGACCATTGGTCCCCCATGATCCTCTTTTTCTTATGTTAACTGAGAGCTGAGTTGATGAGATAACCACCTGTCCAGTGACTTTGCAGGGCAGTCTAATCCCTCCTGTAAACTGCGGAAGATAAGCTTTCAGGATATGTTTTGCCATCAAATAAGCTTTACAAAATCCTATTTGTAGTATATCCAAGTTCTAATCTATTTTCCATTCAGAGTCAGGGTATGTCTAGCTTCTTATCTCCAATAATGTTTTCAAATACATGTATAAGAATTTTTCCACATGTTACCTCACTCTCTCTTTCAAAGAGAAGAGGACGGGATTCAATCCTGGTCATCATTTCCTGTAGCTCCCTTTCATATTCTTCTTCACGGGTTCTCTCAGATTCTCTGCAGGTAAAGAAATATATTTTCAAAATATTGACATCAGTGAAATTTGAATATTTGTTTTCATATTGCGTTCCAAGTAGGTCTCATTGCATCTTACGTATGTGCAGTATATTCGATCAATTCATTGATACTAACAGACAAACCAAAAAAAGGAAAAAATCAAAGAGCAAACACAGACAAATAGAATATGTGGTGTATGTTTCAAGAACATACCCTTGATTCCTAGCTACCTTGTGCATTGCTCAACACAATTAAGATATAACCTGTAGGGCTGTAACAGTATTACCAAATTTATTTAACTTGTCCTTCTACATATAAAATTTGCACAATTAAAGTTTAATACAATAACTCAAGTGCAATCAATTGCCTTATGGTTTTTCTTCTTCCATATATACATGGAGACTTTCTCTGGTTTCACTAAATTTGCTGTATATTTTGTGATACAATTATTTAATCAATTTGTGTGAAACACTTGATGAAGGAAAACAATCCATGCTAAACCAATTCTGAATTATATTCTGACAAAGATTGGCCTAGCTAATCACATGTTACCTGTGCTGTCTGAGTTTCTCCCTGTTGGTTGACTCCAGGCTCTGTGATGTGTCATTGGCTCTAGCTTTGCTGGTGATGAATCGCTGTAGTTTCTTCTCCTTGTATCTCCTCTGTCTCTCCTGCTCCACCTCTTTTCTCTCCCTCTCTGCCCTCTCCATCTGTGTCTTGCTCAATGCACTCTTCCGAAGCTCAGAAGCATTGGTCGTCTTTGATGGGAGAGTATCACCCATGTCAATGGATCTATATTTAATTAAAGATAAAAATAATATATCTAGCTATTCAACTTATGTAACAAATGTTCATTTCTTAGTGAATGATCCATAAGTTTCATTAATTCTTTTGTAAGGAAAACAAAATTGTTTCCATTTTAGCTAACACAAGAGCAGAGAATCTACTACAGAACAGTAAGTAGTGTCAATAGGCATTATGACAAAAGCCACAAGAACATTATTGTTATTTGTGGGCTATATCAATTGGAACCGAATTCCCCCAAAAAGTCCACAGATGGTGTGACATTGGAATAATAGTTCTTTACTATACTAGAGGGACTGAAAACAAAATAAAATGTGTTTCATGATACTGGGTTTTTTTTTCACCAGCAAAAACAAATAAACTTATATTGTTGGCCATGGTACAATATTGCATCTACTCATATATGTTGGGCATACCTTCGAAGAGAAGCAGACTTGGACAAAGAACCTCGAAGAGCCTCTTTCTGTCTCTCCTCTTCCTCCTCCATTTCGAGCAGAGCCCTAGATTTACGAGATGGAATTCTTGCTGTCCTGAGATTAAAGGGCTCAAAGACAGTCGGATCCTTTTCTCTCTTCTTCCTCTGAACCTCCTCCTCAAACTTCCGGTGTAGTTCATCATAGTCTGGGATCTCTCCATTTACCTTCAAATCAAAATAAAACTTGTAAGTTAACAACATTTAAGTCAAGTTTTTTTGATAATCTTTACTCAAATTCACACAATGTGACAGGAAGAGTGCGTAGGAAACTGCAACATAAAACTGATTTCTCTGATTAATCAAAATTAATCAGTGTGAAACAAGCAGAGTAATGCTTTTGCAATTTATCAATCGAAAGAGGCGCTAAAAAGAAAAATGATCTTTACAATGAAAATAATTTTATGCAATGAAAATAATATAAAAGTCACAAAAACAATTTCTGAATAGCATGAATGTTAAAGTACTAAGTACAAGTGTCTGAACTACATGTATAAACCATGCTTTACAGTCATGTTTTGAAGAATTTTTTTTTTTTTAATCATTTATTTTGTTGAACCACAACTATTCACATTTATGCTTCTTGCCTATAATGAGGAAATGTATAAGTTTACCTGGGGCCTAAATTTGTGTTCTGTTGTGAGGAAGGCCTGTTTCTCCCTGTTTTTCTGCATCTTCATTCTCATCTTGCCATCAGTATACTCCTTGCCTCTGATCTGCATGTTGGGAGGGAGCGAAGATTGCCTTAACATCTCCTCAGCTCTCATCTTGATCCTGATCTTCCTGTATTCTTCTTCCTCCAGAATTTGATCATCAATTGTTGGATCAAAGACAGATCTTGGAACTGGTTTGGCCTTGAACGAGGGTGTCTTTGACCGCTTCAATGACAGAGGAACACTGGCTGATCTTTGGTGCTTTTTGGTCTCGGTCAGGTTGAACGGTTTTTGAGTGCTTGTAAGCTTTTTGTAGCTCTGTTCCCGATTCTTTTTTGACTTTTCAATTTGTTGATCCTTGATCTCATCATAGAGTGGTAGGAAAGTATGAGCTGGAACTGGTTTTGCTTTGAACTTTTTTTGGCACTCTATTTCCTCTTGCTTCTCTCGATCAAGCCGTGCTTGTTCAAGCTCCATGGAGGCTCTAGTCTTCTTTCGTTCTTCACTGGATTCCCTCACAGACATGGTAAAAGGTTTTGGTATGGTAATCTTAGGTGACCATTCCTTTGCCTTGCTCTGTTGAGTTGAGCTGCTACGGGATGATGCTTTAGACATACTGCGAGAACGTGTTGCATAGGAGTCAATGCTGAAATCTTCCCACATATTGTCCACCACAGCAGCTGGGGATCCAGGCTGCTTACTCAAAGATAGATCAAGTGAAGTATTTACACTGGATATTATATCTTCTGTGGTAGCTGAACATTCACTACCACTCCAAGTGACATCACTCCAGTCAGGCTTTTGCTTAAGGCCATGGGTGCCATTACGTGCTGTAGATCTTGACTTTGGCCGGTCGTCAGTCCACGCCGTCTGAGGTCGTCCACTTGGTGGCTTTGATGACATGTCTCTTACATTATCTCTCGGCAAAGCTGACCATGCCGGTAAACTTTGGTTAAATGTCTGCATGTGGTCATCCATGTGCTTGTGCTCATGCTCTGCTACATATACTGGACCACTCTTTGTCATCCCTTTGACCTTATCTATTCCATTCATGTAATTCATACTCAGGCTCCAATCATTGGCACTGCCATTTCCACCCATTTCATTCCTCACTTCATTTTCAAGTTCTTGTCGTTTTCGAGAAACTTTCTTATTATACCTTTTTTCAAGGGAACCAAGAGTTACCCGATGTTTTTCTTTCAGCTCTTTCAGTCGTTCGTAAAAATCTTCACTGCTGATGTTTTCCACGTCATTTGTGAGCTGATCAATAAGTGCATCTTCGTCCAATGAGCCAACACCAAATCCCATAGAATGGGACTGAGCAAATGATTCCTGGCCATCATCATGAAAATTAGAGCCGTTATACGAGGCTAAACGTGCATCTTTCTTGTGTTCACGACTTCTGGCTAAATCCCGATCCAATTCGCTTTCTGGTAAGTTCGAATATGGATTTCTCGGCCTTTTAACACAAGAATTCGTAACCATCGACAAGGAATGTCCAGTTGCCATGTTGATCTTCACAACGCATTAATTAATTAACGACGCGCCGCGCGCGCCGTTCGTACAAAGTACAACTAAACGTGCGACACGACAGTTCCGTATGCCGCAAGTTCACTCCAAATCCAATCCTTTTTCTTGCACCGATCCCGACATTTTTCTTCTTTTACATCAACGCTATAATATACCGTACCCTGCCCGGTTTCCGCCCGATGGGCAGTTTTTCTCAGATAACTTCTCTGAAAATGAATTATACAGGCGCTAATGTATACCAATTTGTTGCCGAAATTCTAGCAAATCTAGCTATGCCATTCTTACGCCCGAAATCATAAGCGATTGTCCGTAGCGCGCCGTCTGCGTGAGGCATTTTCCTTGCCTAATTCCGCCTAGACCCGCCCTAATTCCGCCCGATGGTGGGCGCGCATCAAAAGTATAGAAAAAGGAAACATCTCGGGTACACGTTAGGCCAAATCAAATTGCTTCCCAGTAGAATTCGATCTACATGTTATTAGGTGGTCTGTCAACGACAGATCACCTATTGTTTTCGTCAGAATTTTCTTTCTTTATTATTTATTTATTTATTTATTATTTATTTTTATTTCTCCCCACTTTTTTGTGTAGACGATAACTCAAGATCCGTCCAGTCAATTTCGTTCAATTGTGGCACAGTCATAGGTCATTGTCATGACACGTGACAGGAACATTTCCAAGGTCATCAGGTCTTCATGACGTCATCCAGGCGCCATTTTGTATTTTTTTTGGTACTTTCAACTCATGATCATATCTTCATAACGGAAAGGCATTTCTTATTAATATTTATCATGATTAAGGTCAATATCCGTCCGGTCAATTTCAGGTCAAAGAACGCGCGCGCATGCGTACGTCCGCGCGTCAGCGCGCGCGCAAAAAATAAAAATGCTCCAAATCCTTTAAAACTAATTTTGCATACGTTTCAGGCCATTTTAAGCGTTTCGCAAAAAAAAGCTCGCACGTGCGTGCACGCGCGTTTTCGCGCGTACTGGTATTTGCCAACATAAAATCGCAAAATTTTCTCTGTCATCATATTTGGCAAATTTTTCCAAGCATTTTGATACCTTGTTCACCTTTTTCTGCCCATTAATAACGGAATGAGCGTCTGTTTAAGATAATGTCCGTGCGTGTGAGCTCTTGTAATACATAGCATACATGGGCAAAAACATGCCTATACAAAATCCATTGTAGCGCTTTAGGATGCAAGGTAACCTCAATTTTTTTTTCATATTTTAATAGAGTTTGAGTCGGAGATATGATTTCATGTCTCTTTTGACCCTCAATTAACTCATGACGTCATCATAATGGCCTCCGAACTCAAAATTTCAATTTGCATATTATGACGTCATCATATTTTTGGAAAATTGATTGTATCTCTGTCAATATTAATCAATTTTCTTTCAAATTTGGATATGTTCTACCTGAGAATATTCTCTACAAATGCAGTCAACACGATATTTCATTTTGACAAAGGCATCATGGCGTATTTTTGCGATTAAAGGAGGCATGTCAATTTTTCACATTTTGCGTGTATTCTCTATGGGACATGACTTTTTCTCAAAACTGGATTCTACATTATCGTCTTTCGGGAGCAATATCTCCGTCGTTTTATCTTTGTTTACGCTGAGCTTTGAGTATGTTGTAGCTGAGACAATGAGCTATCACAAATGTGCCCTTTATTTTTCGATCAGATGCCGGGATCATGCTCATATCTCACTTGCAAAGAGGGATTTGAGAATTCCATTTTCCGTTTACGTGTATTCTCTATGGGAAATATTTTGGTATATCGGTAACGCACTTGACTTCCGACCTCGAGGTCCCTGGATCGAGTCCGGGCGTCTCCAACAATTTTTTTTCATCAATTTTTTTACTTTTTGACGTGTCAATGATCATGAAAATTGAAGACAGACCACCTAATTCGTCCCCATGACGAATTAAATTTCTAGTTTTGATAATTGATATTTCTTTCTTTATTTCTTCCCTTGCCTCTGTAGGCCTAATGCAAGTGCACTGTTATTTATCAGTTTCTGATCTGGAAAAACAATTTTTTACTGCCTTTGGAAAATCCTGCGACTTGTCTATGATGTTTTAATAATGTGTTCAGTCAAATCTTCAGTGTTCTATCGCTAATCGGGAGAGGGGAAGAAAAAAAAATCCACAATAACAACATTTTGTCAAAAAAAAACTACCACTATTAAAGTAAACACTTTGGAAAGAGAGTAATGGCACTTCATTTTTTAATTTTTTTTTTTAAACTGCAAATTATTCTCGACATCTCTCAAATCTTGATTAAAAATAAATTAGCGTATATTTTTAGGATATTGGTTGGAAAAGCATAGCATTTTCGTCATAGGAATTATCATCATCGCCGACATCGTCTTAATCATCATCATTACAATTTTAGGGTAGGCCTATGTGACGCAAATGTGGTTTCCTGTTTGATTATTTGTTCAAGACTTCAAGTTGTTGTGTTTTTTGTTTTCTAGTTGTTCTAAATTATGCAGTATTTTATGCATTCAATAATAATAGTTCAACTTGAAAGATAAAACTTTCCGAAATGATCTTGAAAACGAAGTCGTCGATTCACTTCCATGGGGGGGGGGGGGGGTAGTGAGCACATTTTTTTTTTTTGATCCTCAAAAAATTTTCAATTTGCACCCCCCCCCCCCAAAAAAAAAGGTAAAAATCACGTGATTTTACATGATTTTTTTTTCTCAAGGGGGGGGGGGGGGGCGGGCCCCCGGGATCCGCCACTGCCCCCACCCCCCCCCACATTTTCTACATAATGCTACATGTTAAATTCATCCATTCATCTATTTATTTATTCAATATTCATTCATTTTATTGCCGAGAGATATTTATGTTATGGATAGAGATGAAAAATGTTCACCTTTTATTCGCCATAAAACTTTCGCAAAACTAACAACGTAAGAATCACCTTAGCAATTTGAAAGGCCTGACAGGCGTATGCCCTTAATGTATTATTTATACTACTCTTTCGATAGCCATTCATATAGGTTTATTTCACATGAAACAACAGACTGGGATTTTAGTTTCTACCCCTATATTTATTTTATTCACAGTCAACTGAGGGAAATTTATGGCAGCGAAAATGTCATGATTCATGTTGGTCATGTTGGTAAAATTAGATAACACACAAACAATTGAAAAAAAAATGAAAAATAATTATAGCCTAAAGCATAGAAGTATTAAGAAAGAAGGATATAAAATTGAAGAGGGAGACTAAAAGAAAAATGGGGAAAAGGAGGGGTGTAATCGAAGAAACATCCTGTATCGTATTATAAACAAGCACTCTTTTCGCTACAAAGCCACGACGCTGGATTAAAAGGCGACACAACATGAATACAAACTTTTTGCAAATCTATACCAACCCTGGCAACTTTTTTAAAAGCCGGACCTATTTTTTGTCATTGGGATCACTGTCGGAGAACCGAACTTCAAGCATTTCTTAATATCAATCATATCTAATTTTGTCACAAAATTTAACTTCATGACTAGTAGGCCTACATTAAATTACAAATCAATAGACCACATCGTTACCCGAAATTGTCGGTTGCTCGAACGAACGGCCAAACATCATTGCAACATTCTTCGGGGGGAGGGGGGGGGGGGGGGGGGGCTTCAATCCCGGCCTCCCACCTTATTCGCCTATCATAATAAGGACAATTACACCCCAGAAAACTACTCCCAAGGATAATTACCCAAATGACAATTACCCCTCGACGACTCAAACTACGCCCAGAAAATTACCCCCGATGACGATTACCCCCATCTCTGAAACTTAACCCCTATATAGGACATTGACCCCCCCCCCCCGGGACAACCAAGAACAATACCCCCTGTTCATTAAAGGGGAAGTCAACCCCGATAATAAGTTGGGTAATTTTTAGGGGGAGATCATTTTCAGGGTGGGGGGGGGGGGGTAAAATTATTATCTATCCCAACATCGTATAAACGATGTTCACACAGGGAAAATTTTCTATAAACATGTTTAAAACTGTTGAGTTAAACACGTTTATACTAATCATCTCTAGATACGATGAATTTTAGCTGTGTGTGAAAAGGCTGCATGTTATTGCAATGACGACCCAGGGAGGTGCCCTGGACGACCTTCGTCATTGCCTTGTTTTCGTTCACATTCTGCCCCATAAATATTCTTCTTATCTTCGTCAGAAAATCGCATTCGTTTTGCACGTAGTGCTTGTTATTCCTAGTTAGGTGCTTTTCTCATGTCCATTTCCTTTCAAATTTCGTATGGTCAAGGGTGAGTTTATGTTACCCCTGGGGGCAATATGTCTTTCTACACAGCCATTCTCAATGTTTGCAAAGTAGTAGGCGTCATGATTCTCAGTATCATTATATGGCTGTATTCCTCTTTTGTTATGTACATAACAAAAGAGGAATACACCCTTGACCATTTTATTATTGTTTTGGTTTCGGCCAGGAATACAGACTGGTCAAATGGCCTAATCCATCAAAGTTATGAGTCATGTTTCGGGCTATACTGTATGACTGGTAGGATTTCCCTGAATTCAAGTTCGGGGGGAACATGAAAGGAAGTGGACCTGTTGACCAATGGGAATTTAATATTGTATGACCCTTCCCACTTTCTCAAACTGTTGCCCACTGGCGTACCTATGGGGGGCAGGGGGCAGAGTGCCCCCCCCTGACGGGCTCCAGGGGGGAAAAAAGAAAAAGGGGAAAGAAAAGAAAAGAAAGGAAAGGAAAGAAAAAGAAAAAAGGAAAAGGGAAGAAAAAAGGAAAGAAAGAGAAAAAAGGAAAAAAAGGAAAGAAAAAAGGAAGAAGAAGAGAAAAGAAAGAAAAAGGGAAAAGAAAAGGAAACGAATAAAAATGGGGAAATTTTTAAAAAAAAGACCATGGTCGTACGCACCAGGGGGGGGGGGGGCAGTTGACCCCAGATATTTTGAAAACGTACAGTTTTTTTCCTGAAAATGTAGTGTAGGCCTATACCAAATCCTTCAATTCTACTTTTGAAAATGCAAAAGTACCCTCTTGACCAGTTCGGTCGCTCGAACTCCCTTCACTCCTTTTGCTTTTGAGATTCTTCGAAAACTTTTAACGCATCTTTCCCCCTCCCCCACCAGAAAAATATTCCGCATACGGCCCTGAAAAATTAAAACAAATGAAAATAGGAAAATATAAGTGATATAACAAATTCGAAACTCTTCGCTGGCGCGAACTGCTTGCTAGCCTATTTTGTATTAAATGTTTTCACTTGCTCGTCCCCCTGAAAAAAGAAAAGGATTAGTATTGCCTAGAATACAATTGTGCCTGCCCCGACCTGCAACCATGGCAACAATAACACACAATACAGTGCGTCCCAGAAAAAGCGAAACCGAGAAGTATCGATGTTTTATCATAACTTAATCACAACCATAATGAATGAATGATACATATTTGGAAAGCTTAGAGTCTCCTCTTTCAGTTGAT